AAATACCAATGTTAATCTAGTTTATTACGTGATTATATGACATCAAAACATTATTATTTATTAAATAAAATAACTATTTTGTTATAATTGTTTTTGTATGTATTAAAATAACTAGATTATATCTACACATAATTTTTATTATTATATAATTTATTACGTTAATTGTTAATTACTATAGACTATGACCAGAATATTACTAAAACTATTTTAATATTTTATAAAAGCAAAAATTCAAATATGTTTTACTATAATATTATAGAATTTGAACTTTCAATGTACTTGCAATCAATTTATACCTATAGAAGTATATATATATATATATATGAGTTTATTTACGTAAATTAAAATATTTACTAATTTTAAAAATAAAATATCAATTCACTAAATATAGTTATGCTATAGACATGAATGTGAGTTCAATTCATAATAGTATTTTACATAGACGTCATCGTAGACTAATGTAAATATTTACTATTTTATAAAGTTTTAATATTGTTAAAAAAATTATACAATTATATATTTACATATTTATGATGTAATAATATATTGCATGTTAATTTATACATAAATACCTATAAAGTACATTAGATATATAATAAATCTATAAATAGTTTGGGAAAATACCACATACTGTACAATACAGTAATTAAAATGTAATCAATTAACACAAAGTAAAAGTTTGTCAGCTTTTTAGTGTAAATTAATATAAAAACATCAATTAACCTTACAATCATTATAAAACAATAGTATTATTATCCATTGCCTTTAACTATATTAGAAAGATAACCATGGTCATCATAAAGGTCATTATAAGCCACAATAATAAAAATATTTATATTTACTGTAAAAGACTATAAAAATACATTATTAGATTGCCAATGGAAAAATAATAAAATATAAAAATCATTGTAAACAAGCGGGAAATCACAAAAAAATAAAATAAAAACTAATTTTGAATACCATTGTTAATATTGTTTGTTTTAACATAATTTAATTATTTGTTTGTTAACATAGCACTCATCAATCTTATAAAAATCAATCAATACTGTAAAAATGATAAGTGATGCATTGAATACATTAATTTATGTAAAATACGGATATCAACAATAAATGTATACAAAAAAATTTTTATATCATTTATAGATAATCTTCAAGCAATGGCAATATTAACTCCTATTTTATAAAAAGGGTGGGTTCATACAATCTTACTATAAAAAAGCAAACTTGTTATGAAAAAATGATTTATAAAATAATTAACTAATAGTTTGTGCAAACAATACTTTATATATATGTTAAATTCTACTAAATATAAAAAAATCAAATTATTTTATTATTTATTTAATTATTGCTTATTAATGAAAATTAATTAATATTTTTTAGTTATATACATATAATATTTTTTAATATGTTGTTACCAATTAATAATATTTTATTAATATTTTTATCATTTAATTTGATGTTTAAAACATGTGTTTTGGCACCGGTTGTTGATAATAGTGATGATAATACTGATTCAAATGATAACAATTTAGTGGAGTCACTCACAGAGATATTAAATGCCGGACAATCACTACCTGATCCACCGAAATGGTATAATCATTGCAAAGTGGGTCCCAAGTCATCGCATCGGACTATCAGTCATCTAATAACAGAATTGAGCGCCGATTCCGATGTCAAGAATAAACACATAAAAGAAATGTTTAATAAAGTGGAGAAAAGCGCTTTAATTGCTAAGAAAAGAGCCGAAGATATCAAACAGAAATTTGTATGTATTTTGTATATAAATTAAATATAATTTTTAATTAGATTTAATTAATTTCTTTTAACGGGGATTTGAATACCTGTAATCAGAATTGAGATAAACAAAAGTATATAATAATTAGGGGATGTAGCTCAGTGGTAGAGCGTTCGCTTTGCATGTGAAAGGCCCGGGGTTCGATCCCCCGCATCTCCACTTTTATTTTGTTTYTATTTTTAAATAAAATCATTTATCTATATTATAGATTCTATAATCTATGATTTAAATATGAATTAACTTATGACGCTTGTTGTTAAGCTTTAGTAAAAAATCATTTATAAATATTTTTAACACAAAAGAGTTGTTAAGGATTTTTAGTATTTTTTACTAAATTATTTTATATTAATTTTAAATTAGTTTTTTAACATTATAGATAAAATTTATAATATTTTAGTTTTAATATTTATCTATAATAAAGTGTTTCTAAATATAGGAGTTAGTTATAAACTTTAAAACAAAAAATATAGAAAGATATAGAAAGATAAAAAAAACAGGAATTGTTTATCAATTTAATAATTTATTTGTTTTATAATTATAGACTGATTTGGAGCACATATTAAAAGACTTTGAAGGCTTGAAATTTAAGCCGATGTTTGAATGGTTACCAAAAATACCTCCGCTTTCTGAAGTGGCCCTCAAAGATATGACCGTAAGTGTAGTCATAATTTATTATTACAATTATTACAGCTTAAGTAAAATTTGGACAATATATTAGCAATAATTATTGTATAGTAAATTATAATATGTGACAATTAGTTTTATAATTTTGTAAAACTACTATTAAGACAAAAGCAAAATCTTAATAATTTAAATTTGAAAAGTTATAATTTTAAGTTAACATTAAAAAGTTAGTTTTTATATTACCGATATATTATTTTATCTATAATTTAATTTATTTTACAATAGATAATTTTAATATATTTATATATATAATTAATAAATATTTCATATATGAAATTTTAAAAATTATAATTTATAAACTTATTAAGTTTCTATTTATTTATAGATTATATGCACTAATCACTACTTAAATTACTTAAATTATTATTTCATGATATATAATATTAGTCTATGAAAACACTGTTAGATATGCTGATATTAAGCTCATGGAGTTGGTCACCACTCCAATAAATTGCATATTGTTATCAATTTAGTTATTAATATAACAATTGTGAGAAAATCCTGTTCGTGTGTCGACAACTTTGTTGTCAAAATGTTGATTAAATTATAACACTTGTAATATATAATTGTCTAATAAATTATTGTTTGCTTTAACACATATTTATAGAAAGAGATATCGTTGTTGAAAGTGCACCGGTATGTTGAAAGCTTTGCTGTGGCCATTGAACAGGTAATTACAGACCAGGATATATACTCCGGTTACGATTGGTTGGATCCAACAGAGTTCAAGAACATGGATGACGATAACTATAACATATTGTGTGAGATCAGGACAGCCATGTCTTTGGTGTTCGGCTCAGTGGACGAGCACTTCTTGACCAATACGGGCCGCGATATTATGATCAACGAGTATCGTAACATCAAACAAGTGTCCAAACGTATGCTCAGAGACTATCTGATACTCAAACAGTATGTACAGACAACTGATTACATCAGCAAACTGTTTGCATATCATAGACAAAAATTTTAATGGAAAAAATGATGATATGTTACAGTATACTCATATTTATTATTTTTTAAAAAATTATCTGTAAGTTTTATGACTGAAGTTTTAATTGTTTTTAAACTAATCTCAATAACATCTAACAAATCAATTATTATTTATTAACAAAATAAGTGTGAACTTCAATCATTACATATAGATAAAAGAAAATGTAATTTTCTAAATACTTGAAGGACTTTTAGTACTTAAAATTTAATATTGATTATCAACTCATTATTACCGTAATTATTATTATTATTGAATATTACAGAAAAACATTTGTTTTATTTATTAATGCATTTATTTAATAATTATAATATATTTAAATATTGGTTAGCATATGATCTATCTACTAACCAATCAATCAGTCCCCAATGTGTTAAAATTTTGATCGCAAATAATTTATAAATTTATTAAACGTTTGATAATTAATATTAAATATATATTATATAATTTATCAATATATTTATATTTTATAGTTTATAATTTATTTATTTATCATATAAATTATTTTATTTATTTATCATTGTATAACATAATTTATTTCATTTATTTATATCATAAATAATATAAAATTTATATGAATTAAAATTCACATCATTATTTTCAATTGTAATTAATTTATTGTTTCATTTTTGCAACGAATAAATTTAAATTATTTAAATAATCTTTGAGTTAATTAATATACAAACATTAGTTTAAAACATTTTTTAAATTAATTTAAATTAAAAGTATCTTATAATAGTATAAAATGTAAAAAAATCTTAATTTCTGATTACAAAATTTGCTAATTACAGACTAAACTATACTTAAATGTAATTTGAATACAAAAAAAAATCAATATATAAATTGTTTGGCATTAAATTATTATATTTTTATAATACCGTACAATAAATAACAAATATGTAATAATATGTATAATCAGTAGTAATCGTTGATAAAATATATAATCATTTTTTAAACAAACAGTTCATAGAGAGTGTGTTACTGTGATTTGTTATTTAATAATGTCGGGCAGTTATGATAAAATACATACATACTGTCTTATACACCATGGGGTATACAATGGGTGTCTTAAATGATTAAGTTTAGTATCAATTTATTTTACAATAATAACATTAATTAAAACAGTGTTGTAGTAGAATATTAATAATTTTGTACTGAAATTAAGTACAATAAATAGCAAATATCTTAATTATTATAAATTATTTTATATTATTTCTTGTTTAACTTTATTAATAACATTTAGTTATTAATAATTATTTATCTAATGTTTTATAATTAATTCAATATAAAAAATTTACCAATAATATTTAACTAAAATTTAAAAATGAGCTGGAATAGTATATAAATGACCATTCACAAATTTATCTAATATTACAGTCAAACAAAACAGTAATCAAAATATGACTAATGATACACTTTTTTTGTTATAATGGATACAGAATAATATGATAAAATTTAAACATGCATTTGATTTGTGTGTTTATAATAATAATAATCAATAATTAATAATAATAAGTAATGTAATGTAAATTAATAATATATAAAATTAAAACATTTCTTATCATTTATCACTTGAAAATTGTTTGCAAACAATTATTATATGATATATTATAAAATATAGCGATTAAATAATTAGCTATTAATCAGTCTCTTGAGTCCCGGAACTACTTTCAGCCGATTGTTTCCTCGCTTTTGCTGAGAAGGCGYCGTCTTTGTTATTCTGTTTGATGGCAGCGAGATATGAATCAGTCATTGAATCACTTGAAGAGTATCTCTCCATAAACATCTGCGGAATGTCCGAACCGAAGTAAATCTTAGAGTTTTGAGCAATTGATTCATATTTCTTAAGCTGCAAATACTCTTTCGTTAGCAACAAATTGTTTCCTTCAGCCAACTTCTCTTTGCTGTAGTATTCGGCGTCGGCTCTCATCTTCTCTCTATTGAAGAACATGTCGTCCTCTATGATTGACATCTTCTTAAGCGATTCTTTTTCCATAATCTTCTGTTCATAAATAATTTTGGCCACCTGTTGGTTCTTCTCGGCTTCAATTATAGCTTTCTTTCGTTCCGTTTCAGCGTCTTTTTCAACCACTTTCTGTCTCTGAACCGAAATCATTAACTTTGTCTTCTCACCTATCAATCAGATTCAGAATAAAACAAAAATATTTAATATATAAAGATATTATAAAATTTAAAAACATTTAAACAATATTTCAGAAATTATTACTAAATAAAAATTCTGTAAATTTAAAAACACAAATACTTTAATATTTTAAATATTTTAAGTTTTAACTTAAGATAATCAAATCAAGTGATACCTTCCATCAGTTCATAATTGCGACGAATAGTTTCCGGTATCTTCGGTTTGGTAACCCTAACGGCCTGAACGTAAAGACCCGGAGCGAACTCATTGAGGTCTCTCTGGAGGGCAGTCTTGAGATTTTCATCGATTTGATCAAACAAATCAATGTAAACCTCTTGTAGTGTATGTATTGAGCAAAACTGATTCAATTCGTGATGAACTTTGTTAAAGATGAGAGCCTTATCGTAATCGGCGGTATAATTGCGGACAATATCGTATCTATTTAATGACCAAAAAACAAATATCTTTCAATATTCAAATGGCAACTCTGGAGATCACCGATGTCTTACACGGCTTTGGATTGCAAAATGTTGACCACTTCTATTCGGTCAAAGTATATCATAACACCACCCGATGTACCGCACGGAACGTTCTTCACTTCATCCGTCTGTAGAGTCACTTGAATGGACCGAAAGGATGTCAGTATCGGTAACATCATATGAAATCCAGGAAAAGATATCGCGTCGAGGAGTGCACCCCCTCTATAGTAGACCCCCACATGACCTGTCATTATAATTCAAAAAACAATAAATTGTATGTCATTTCAAAAGTGGTCGACAAATCATATAAACATATAGTTTTAGTCATATAATAAAATTAATTAAAGTTTATTTAAATTTAAGTGAACAACAAGTGTGAGAATCGGTATATAAAAAGTAATCCAAACCCTCGTCTATCTTATGAATCGCTGAATTAAAGGCCACAACCAGTAATGCAAAGCCAATGCCGGCAATGATTAACGCATTGGACTCTATGGGCATCACTTCATCCGATTGTATAATCAAATTCAAAATAAATATTTAGTTAGTATTAGTTAACAATTAGTTTTTGTTAATCACTATTTAGTAATTTATATTTGTTTTACAATTTATCGACACATTTATTACTATAATATACTATACATAACATTAACGTATTAATCATTATAACACATAAGCATTACCGGTATTTAATCAATTTCATACATTTTATAGCATTGAACGCAATGTAAATGTAACTAATAAAAAGTACTCATTTAGCGTTTATTTATGCATATGAACATTATGAGCCAAATTTGAATGGTAAATGTATCAAGGTAATACTACTTTTACATTCAATTTTTAAGTTTTATCATTTAATAAAACTTTTTAAATATATATAGATATATAACAATTAATTGAATAGGAAATAATTGTTTAATTGTACACCAATTATCAACATAACACTTAACACAATATACTTGTAATTAATTACTGCATTTAAAACATTTCTCAATTAATTAATAAATTTATTTCAGAATTAAGAGCATAAATATAAACAAATTTTGAGAAAAACAGTAATTATGATCAAAATATTTTAAAACATAATTATTTTCTTTTATTATATCTATTACATTATTTATTTAAATAATAAAATTACTTTACAATTTTGAAAAAAACAATTACCGGTAATAGTTTAGTTAACTTTAGGACCAGTAGATACTTGTGAACTAGCACTGGCACTACTGGTAGCACCGGTATTAGGAATCAGGTTCAACACATTAAATGCTTGTTGTAAAGCATTGGTAACCATGTTTTGTGTGGACGTCAATGTATTGGTTAACTGATTGAATGCATTGGTTATATTAGTCGGCAATGTATTTATAGTTGAATTGGCTGAACTCAAAGCTTGTCCAATGGCACTCTGTGCCTGTCCAATAGCACCAGAAATTGCACCCTGAGCTTGTCCAATTGTGGTGGCTAATATATTATTTGCTTGTCCGGCAGCACCGGTAATAGCGCCCAAACTATTTGTTAGACTAGAATTGGTAGCATTGGTGAAAGCGCTAATTAACTGACCTCCCAGTCCACTAAAAATTCCTCCCAACGCTCCAAATTGTGGCTGAGCCTCGGTTTGAATGATTCCCAGTAATACTAACGTTACGATTACTGATAATTGTTTCATTGCTATAAATAAATTGAAAGAAAAATTATCACAAAATTAGTTATTAAGTTTGATTAAAACTTTTAAATTAATAGTTTTTTATTTTTTTATACAATAGTATGCATCTATTTATACTATATTTGATTGTTAGTGATATTTCAAAACTGCTACAATTGTTTTGCAAACAAATATTAGCAATCAATTGTATTTTATTGTATATAAAATAATTGCATCAAACAGTGATTAATTTTATTGTTATTATTAATAACATATTTCATCTTTATATTTGTTAAAACAATAAAATGAGTTGAAAACCTATTTATTTTTTACCTATTTTTAGTTTTAATATCAAAATAATAAATCAAAAATGCTATTTCTATTATTAAAAAATATCTGTTTTCAATAACTTTTTTGTCGATAAATAAAACAAATTCATTTTTCAATGAAAAATTTTAAAAACTATGTTAAGCTATCCTTAATTAAAATCTATAAAAATAAAAATAAATTACCAAACAATAAATAATTATTGTTTTCAATATACAGTACTCTATTGCTTAATATTTAATCATTTATTTCTATAGATTAATAATAGAAACAACATATAAATGTATTTCTAAACAAAAAACTTTTTGAGACACAAATCTAATCCATGAATTCAAGACTTTGTTAGTTTTTTCTCATAGGATGGCTAATGGATCAGCTCTTTGATCGGTAACAGTAACGATAGACACCATAGGCCACAATTGACATGAAAACGGTGGACCCAATAATCACCCAAACTGTTGGTCTTAAGCCCAGAAACTTTCTTTGAGCTAATGATGACTGTCCATTGACTGCTGCGTCTGATGAGGTCTTCAATGAAGGACTACTGGCACTCTTGTCCTGAGCCTTGAAATTTTCCGATTTGTTTTTCAAGCTCTCAGATACCTTCGGCGGCGGTGGCGGCGGACGTGACGGAGGAGATGGTAGTGATTTGGGTTTGGGTTTTGGTTTTCCACTTTTTTGTGATGAACTTGAATTAGTTTTATGACTCATTCTCCTACCGGTGCGCTCTAACTGATGGACTGTTGTCGGGACCTTAAATTGTGTGGACTAACCGTCATCTAATATAAACAATTGCATACAATTGTTTGAACCGTAACTTATAATTTAAAAATAACAATATAATTACGTGTCAATAATTGTTTAATTTATTTTTATTATTTTATAATAAAATAATTTATATATAAAAATAGATAATAATTTAAGTGTTAATTGTATTAACACAGTATTAACATTTAGCAGATTTGAAAATTTTTGGAGCAATTTTGAAGAGTTCACCTAAAAATAATTATAAAGTAAATAATTAATTAATTATACTTTAAAATTACAATAAAATAATAATTTTAGTATTGAATTATGAGTTACAATAAAATAGTACAACCGATATGTAAACTATTGTTTTTTGAGACTAATTTAAATTGAATTAAATTGAAGTATAATTAATTTTATCAAAAAAATAATTATTCTTAGATTAAAATTTAAAACACTAATATTAAAATAATATTTTTACTCTAAAAAAGTAAATTTAGTTTCAAAATATGATAATAAAACTGATTGCATATAAATATTGCACAAAAAATATCTGATAAAAATTGGTTAACATTTTTCTTAAATTTGTATTAGTTATAGTTGGGCTGAGTATATGATTTTGAAAGTGGTTTTAAGATATTTGATATCAATTACATATTATATTGTTTTGAATTGATTGACAATTTTACTGCAACTCATAATCAAATYCATAGAAAATACAGTAATTAACAATTAGTTTAGTTTACATACAAGTGTTAGCGCATTGTACAAAAAATTCGGGATTTTCTCGCATAACGGGAACACAAAAGTTTTGGTTTAGACACGGAATGGTTTGCTTACAACCCTCCGCACAGACCATCAAATACATGTACTGACTGAGCGAATCCTTTGATCCCTGAAATCCTTTCGCAAATTTAATGTAATTACAGGAACGCATACATCCTTCATGAGAGATACGGCTGTTTATCGGTAAGACTGAGTCTAACATCTCCTGATTAGTCAAACTTTCATTCAAATCGTGTGGATATGAGTTAAACGAATCAAATTTGTTCTTATAATTAGATATTAAAGGTTTGTTTCCAATTGCTTCTCCCGTATCCAACAAATCGATATATTCGTCAGCAATTCTGTTATTATTTTCAATAATATTTTCAACAAAACTTTCTAATCTTTGTAACCTATTTTCCAGTTGTCTAATATACCGATCCCTGTGTCTGTCCTGGAGTTTATAAGCTGTATATCTTGGTCTGTCATAATTATTCATAGCATTAAAATACTGACCATTTATTGTATCAATTATAAAGAAAATAATAATAAATATAATTATATATCTCATAGTATTTTTGATAAGTTGGTTAACAATTGTTTATTAAAAATCAACTAAATTAATTAATTAATTAGTTTTTCTATGTTTATTACAATACAATTTACAATATTAGTTAATTATTTATACAACATTAATTAATTAATTAAATTAAAATTTGACAAACATATATAACGTAAAATATTATTATTAATATTATAATAAATTTTTATTTTGCAAAAGTACAGTATATTCTAAGTGTTATCAACAAATTATTGACTATAATATAAAGTTGTTATGCAAATAGTTTTTGTTTAAACACTTTAATATCGTAAAATCTTTAAAAAAAATTTATTTAATGCATTTTGTAAGCAAAACATATGAATTAAATTTATAGATTAATAGAATTCACATTATTTGTTGTTTCTAACAGTTAACTAATGCTAATTAATTTACAATATTATCATTATATTACAGTTTTATTTTATATCAATAGTTTTAATAAGATTAATTTTAGTTTAAGTTATATTAAAAATATTTTTAATTATATTATCAAAACTTTAATTATATAAATTACAAATAATCGCATTTCTCAAACAATATTACTTAATAATATTTATAAAATAATTTATTTAATAAATATCTGTTAGAAAAAAACATAAATTATTAATTAATTAATGATAAATTTTTATTTGTAAAAATATAATTAAATAGATACAAACCTTTGGAAAAATTGAAAACGGAGGACAACGATTAGCTATAAAAATAAAATTAATATTTTATTTAGAGAAAAATCAGTATTAAAACAGTATATTTTTTTATAAAAATTTAACAAATATTAGAAAACAGTGACAACAAACCGCATAAAATAAAATAATTGGGATTTTCTTTCATAACCGGTAAACACAAACTTTCTGAAATACAATTGATAATCCCTTTACAACCCTTTGCGCAGACATTTAGATACAATAGCTCTATGAGTGGCATATTTCTGACGATATCCACTTGTTTGATGTAATTACAGGACATTAAACACGACCGACATGTCTGACCACATGAATCTTTGTCTCTTCTATTTATACCCGGCTCTAGTATCTCATCAGTCAATTCGTTTAATTGGTTTATATGATCGGGATTTAGTGGAAGCACTTTATCTGCCAATGGATTCTTAATAATGAGAACTGAATTTTCATCATTTGGTAAATTGTTGTCAATTTTATCGTAATTTTCCAGAAACTTTGGACTCAAATTGTAGTCATAATAATCATTGTAATAATCGTTGTAATAATTGTAACCATAAATACTGTAGTTAGGCTTAGTTTGCAATAAAATTATTAACTCTAGTATTAAACAGTATTAAAATTAGTATTATATTGATAATATACAATTGTCTTTATAAAAAACTTACTTATTATAAATAAATAAATATTGAGAGACATTTTGTTTCCAACAATTTAATTTAACTGTTTATACTATAAATTATTACTTATAGTGAAGTAAAAATACAGTATATTTTAATTTCCTCTACATAAAGTATTATATAATAAATAATTATACTAAATTAATATAATTAAGTTATAATATTGTTTATTAAAATCATTTAAAATTTTGATAATATGAAGATACAACATAATATTTAAAATATATAAAGTTAATAAATAAAATGAAATATTAAATATATTCACTTAAATGTTTAGTTCAATACCCCAAATGCTGTACTCAAATCAAAATACTTAAACTTTAACTAAAAAATTCAATTTATTTAACTAATTATAATATAAAAATTAAAATTAAATATAAAATATAATATAATTTCTTAAATAAAAATTTAAAAAATGAGTTCTAATTTATAACTTGACTATATATTATGATAAAAAAAATTAAAAAGTTTTGAGATAATATTTGAAATATGCACCGGGAGGTGATAGTAAAAGTGAAATTTAATCCAAAGTTAATTGAGTTGATATATTGATTTGTGTTTCATGTATTTAAGTTTAGATAAGTATTTTTAATTTTAGAAACTTTARAAATTTTTGAATGATATAATTTAATTAATTAAGTAATTTTCACTTTATTTGTTTATAAATTATGTACATTTAAAATAATTATTTCACACTAACTAAACACATATTCAAATATTCTTTACTTGAGAAAAACCTATAAAATAAAAAATATACAATTAATTAAACAATTTGTTTTATGTAATTATATAATACTATATATATTTGATCATATTTGTGAAAAATATACCTTGGGTATTACTGGAAAAAGTGGACAATTGTTAACTATGTAAATAAAATCAATTGTTAATTATTGAAAAATTATAATTATCAAAGTTATTAGTTGTTATTTACCACAAATAATAAAATAGTCGGGATTTTCCTGCATTACTGGTAAGCAATAGTTATCATTAATACAATTGAGTAGTCGTTTGCAACCCTTTGCACAAACAACTAAATACATGTATTGAATGAGAGGCACATCTTTGGCCAGTTTAGCCCCTTTGATGTAATTACAAGTGTCAAGACATGAGAGACAACTCTTATCACAAGTAGAAGTAGAACTGGAAAACGGATTTCTTACTAATGGATCGGTTTTGACTTTCAAAACATCGTCCATCAATTGGTCATCGGATTTGATAGACATAGGCAATAGAAAGTCATCTAACTGTCCACTCGGTAACGGCTTTTTTGATCGACCAGATAAGTCATACACTTCAAAGTTTTCCATTAAATAATTTTTAAAAGGAATATTCTCATACCAATTGTAATTATAATAATCATCGTTATAATCCTTATCGTAATAATTATCGTTTGGCTTTATTTGCAGTAAAATTATTATATCTATTCAAATATTTCAATTATGCTAACTATTATTAATATATCAAATCACAACTAAGGTTTACTTACTTAGAATAGTCAAATATAAATACATTATGAAAAAATAGTTATAATTATATAATTTAATATGTTAAAGTATTTACATTCTATAGTATAGTATATATTATTTATTTATAATATATATATAATATATATATATATATATCTTGAATTATTAAATGGAGTTTAATTTCCTGTTTTGTTATTATATAATATATTAAATATATTTATAGTATTTAGTTAGATAATCTAATAAAGTATAGTATTCAATGTTAAACTATTGATTAGAATAAGCTAATACTTTAATATTAAACAATTTAAATATTTTATTTATAAAAATTATAATAAATAATTGACATTTTAATTTTTAAAATTGAAATAATTATTAATTTTGTTTAATACAGTATGTCATGTGCAATAAAAACAAATAATATTTTGTTTATTTTGTTGTCAATCAATTTGTTAATTTATTGTACACAAAATGATGATGAATCAGATTCAGAAGCAGATGATTGGGAACCTATATATTCAATGGATTTAGAGAGTCCTTCTCAACAATTAGTGCATTCAAGAGCACCCAATTCATGTCAACGATCCTGTAATTACTTGAAAAATGCCAAAAATCTTAAAGGGGATCAATTGAAACAATATATGTATCTAACTGTTTGCACACAAGCCTGTAGAGGACTGATACCATGTATTAAAGATAACTCTTGTATACCAATTATGAAAGAAAATCCTGACTTTTTCTATCATTGTATTGAAATTAATTGCAAAATTATGCATATTGTAGGCAAAGTGTTTAAATCATCTAAAGAAAATTGTTAGTTAATAATAATTTATGATTTTAATTATTAGTAATATAATAATAAACAATAATTGTTAAATTATTTTATACTATCTTTAATTTAATAGTTATTTTAAATTAAATAAAAATATCTCATCATTTATGAATTACTTAATTATAAATTTAGCAGTTAATATAGAGATGGGCAAATAGAAAGTTTCTAATAAATTTCCCTGAGAAAGTTTCTAGAAAGTTTCTCAAGAATAAATTTCTATAGAAATTTAACTTTTTTGTTATACTATGGGATCCCCATATCTATAGATATTGTAAAACTATAAATATATTAATGAGACACTACTATACATATAATATTATACTATATAATGTAGATTACTGTATAATACTATATTATACAAATGGGATACCTATATAAATAATTATAATTTTTTAATAATAATAAGTTTTGTAAAATTTTATTCACTATTTTATTATATCATAGTTTAATATAATTAAATAAATAAATTTTTTACTTTAATTAATAATTAAAATACTAATACTAATATTTAAATATTACTTATAAAAACAATGTTAAAGATAAAAAATATCGAGAAAACAAAATTAACCATGGGGATCCCATAAATAGAAATTTCTTTTAGAAACTTTCTAGAAATTTCTCTATTATTTTATAAATTTCTCTTTTTTGCCAACACTAAGTTAATAACAATTTCCATATGGAAATCATTTTTAGTATTTAAATAATTTAAACGATATAATATAATTTTTATTAATTAATTAAAATGCCTATTAAACAATTTGTCAATACTTTCATCAGTAAGTATGAAAATTCATTATAAATTACTATTGTAATAAAGTTTTTAAACTTTTTGTAGTTTCTTTAATATCTACTAATTTATTGAATACGATAAGTTGTAACCAACGATATACTGATTATAATTATCCATTAGATAATTATGAAGATGAGTACAGTTATTATTATGATAGAGATTATGATAATAATGTAATGAATTTTGCAAATGATGTATCAATTGATAAAAAGTCAGTCTATTCTGACGATCAACTATTAAATGATTTAATAAATCCGAGACAAACCGTTTCGGATGTATTGGACCGATCGGTTGTGGCGAATGCAATCTCTGGCGGATCTGAAAACCGTAACTCAAATGATGACTATTGTGATGATGACTGTCCCTCTTGTATGAAGACCTGCGATCATCTCAAGTACTCATCACTACTTCATTTGCCGGCAACTCATGCTTTCTATCAGATTCTCTGTTCTCTCGGTTGTCGTAAATCTATTCAATGTTTTAAACAAAAGAATTGTTTGCCGGTTATGAAAGAAAATCCCAATTATTTTGTCTATTGTGTCAATAGTTGCAACATTTTCCCAGTGATGCCCCACTTATTTGTTTCAGTATAAAATTATTTTTGAAAATAATTATAATATTTCTAGTAATCATAATAATTGAAAATTGTAATTAATAATAATTATTAGTATATTTGTGAAATTATTACAAATTATATAATTATTTATAAACTAATATTATTTTCCTTAAAGTTTAATTTATTTATATATTTAAAATAATTAATAAAATATTATTTCAATCTTCATGTAAATGTATAAATATAATCATCAAAACCAGTGTTTCAAAAAGCAAAATATTTATTTATTTGATTTTCTACTATTAGATTCTTTTATATTTATTAATATCAGGGTTGGAAAAATACAAGGTTTTCAATTTTGGTTTTGTAAATTACAGTAAAATACAATGTACTGGATGTATTTTACAATTATAGAAAAATTACATTAACAATGATAAAATATTTATTTTTTATTAAAATTATTATTATTACATAATTTCAATATTATTATTAGAATCGTTGTTTTCTAAAACTATTAAAAATTAATATTAATTATTTTATTAATATATTTCAATACCAGAATTAAATTGAATAGTTAATTTCAAATTTTTTTAGATAAAAAAATTATTATTATTACAAAACATGTGTTTGTTTGTGAATTTTTGTATTTTTGTTACTAAGTGGCGCTAAATTTTTTTTGTAAGCCAAAATTGTCATGTAATTTACATTGTATTATACTGTATAATACGCTTTGTATTATACATACACTTTGTCTCTGCCAACACTGATTAATATAAAATTAATACATGATATTGTATGTACAGTAACACTACTGTAGTTTACTCTATAGTATTACAATATATTTATACAAATTAAACGATTACACACACTGTCGATACAAATACAGGTATTAATATTCATATAGATATTTAATTACCACTGCATTGAATTGCAACCAATGAGAGAAAGGCATTTAATTATTATTTTAGTCAAACTTTTTTTAAATATAAAAATTTGACTAATTTTTCCTCAAATGTCTAATCAATATCTCTATAAACTGGTTTCAAGATTAACGACAGTACTTATTAAACGACTATTTGTAGTCGCAATCATTTGTTTGTTTTAAAAACACAATTTTTGTCACAATTTTTACATCCCTTTCCACACCAGAAATTGGTTCCAAAGGCACACATCTTAAGTGATATAAAGTGTTTGATAATTATTAACATTCATTTTTCTAGAGTAAAGTTATTAATAAATTAAAAATAAAATGACGTTAAGAGAGGATATGCTAAGGATGGACGACTTGGAGACTCAATTGGATCAGATGTCAAAAGACAAGTCAGTGATGGAGAAGCAAATCGAAGTACAGAAAAATGTTATACAAGAGTTGAGACACTTTCGCGACAATTGTGTCAAATTGAGTGAATATGTGATATTGAAAGATAATAACAATGAATTGTCCATCAAATTGACCGAAAGTGAAGCCAGAGTCGAGTCGCTGACCAAACGCGTGACAACAGATTTGAATGAAATAGAAATTCTTMACCAAAAAAGTTACGAACAATCAGATGAAATCAAGAACTTAAAAAAGGATTTGAAATCGTGTTTGTTTACCATTGATGAACAAAATAAGATAATTAAAGAAATCAATGATATTAAAAAAGAGCGCGAGTTTTACCGCAACCAATATGAGACCACATTAACAGAAAACCAAGAGTTGACTCAATTGATTGAAGTTTATAAGAGTGAAGACATGAATAACGACGATAATGCCGGTAATGTGTCCAACATATCAATTGACGACTTGAACCAAACGTTGACTAAATTACTCGATTCAATCGATTATAATGATAACGAAGAGTCTTTTGAATCAGTGTTTGACATCAAACTCTTGGATATCGAGAAGGCGTTGGAAGAGAAAAAGCGTTTAAATGAAGAACTGATGGCAAAGACTCAACAGATGAACGAAGAGATCGCAAAATTGACAAAATTAAGACTTGATTTCGAAATGTATGACAAAAACTATAAAGAAAAACAATCGTTTGATCGCATCTTCAAATTGGTTGAAAAGCGGGTCTTGAGTTACGTTCCTCTTAACCGATATGTGGTTCCTATTAGTAGAAGAGTATTACAATCACTGACACCGTTGTGTATTATAAGAACAGTTTCAAACATTTATAATAATTGAAGAAATAAATATTATATAATTAATATCAAATAGTTTAGAAAAAATTACATAATTTATGTTTTAATTAAAACTACATTTAAATATATAGTTTATTTACAATATTATAATCAAATATTTTTTTGCACTATAATCCTAATATGATATCAAAAATTTGCATTATTTGTAAGTATGATTAAAATAAATAAGACAATTAATAATAAATAACTAAAAAATACAATTTTAATTATAATAGTAATATTGTTATCATCATTATTATCGTTTTCTAATCTCTACCAAAATTACGATCCGATAGATGGATATTATGTGAACCCAAACAAAGTCTATTCGGCACTTAATTTTCGGAGCAAACAATATACTGACGAAAACTTGTTGGAAGATATCATTAATCCTGACGTTTCGCTTTCAACAGTAATTACTAATGCATTGAAATTTTCCGGTGAAACACAAAAACCTAATATAAGATGTGCTGATGACTACTGTGTCAGTTGTCTACAGAAATGCAATCTTCTCAAGACTAGTGATCTGATTAACAAACAACAGTTCACTCAGTTTTTATATTTATTGTTATGCGCTGAGGGATGTAAGGGTAATGTCAAGTGTTTGAATAAAAACTTATGTTTGCCTGTTATCCCGGGATATACCAACTATTTTATCAATTGTGTCACTGCCTGTCCCATTGCATTAATTATACCACAAATATTTATAATGAAATGAATGAATATATATATATATTTCAATTAATGTTTATATTGTAACTTATTTTTGTTGTTGATTTCAATGTATAAAAATTGCTTACTATAACAGGTGTTTATTCTTGAATGACAACAATAATTGCATTAATTGTTTGTTTTTTCGTTACTATTAATGGCAAATTATTTAATAAAATATTAAATAAGTATTGCGAAAAGTAATAAATTTTAAATGTAATAAAATAAATGTTATAAAATATAACTGATATCTCATTAGATTTAAAAGGTCTCAATAATATTCAACAATTATTTTCTTAGATTTACCATTGATTACTTAAATATTTTATACGACTAACTGTTAGTATTATTTTAATACGATATCAATATTATCATTACTAATATTACTAATATTTGAATGTTATGAAAGTGTCATTAATTATGATAATAATGCTATGAATGAACATTAAATATAATATTGTAAAAATACATACTATATAAATATATTATAATTTTATTATAAAATTTTAATAATAAAAGTACTGTATGTAAGTAATAGACATTTTATTTAAATTTTAATCAATTATTTTTTAAAAGTATAATTTATAGACAAATCAAGTTTACAATTTTAAAAAAATTATTTCAATATTTAGTCATAAGTTAATAATAACATTAAACAGTTTACTACAAACTTAATTAATTGGAAAAATTTATTGAATTATTGTAAAACATTAGACATTGATTGACACAAATTGTAATTTATTTCAGTTGTTATCACTTTCGAGTACACTCTTGAGTACATTTCTCAATGGCTTCAACAGTGATCGGGTCTCTTCTGATTCGGTCACTTCTGGCACTACAACGGCTTTACATTTGTCAGAGTCTGCGTCATAATTGCTGCAAATCAGGTCAAACACATCCGACTGGAAGGCATCGGCGATGTGACCGAAATATTTTCTCGACTCTTCCGGACACACTTGTGAACCAACTCTATCGAAGCCTTTGCGGACACATCCGCGGAAATCATGAAATTTACTGAAAATTATAATTTGAAAAAAATATTATTATTAGCATTGCATTTATTAAAACACTATTTCATTAATTACCAGCAAAGGATCGGTAGTTTATCACTGAGTGGTGCTTTTTGTGCGCCATATAAAGACAATTTGTAACTATTAAGACATGATCTCATGTCAGGTATGACAGCATTACCACAGCCAGCATTCTTCACAAATTCTGTAAATTTATATCAAATAAGACAAAAAAAAACATTATTTCATATAATTATTTATAAAATTATTATTATATTACAGACCAGCTCTTCGTTCATTTGATTTACACATCCGTTTAAGAAGTCGTGAAATGCCAGCGACGGCTACTTCAGTAGCTCTTCTACCCGTTGGACTCATACATCTTTTTGTATAATCTTTGACACATTTATCGGTGTCCTTAAGTTTACCGCAAAAAGCTTTCAATTGGTCAGAGGAATCGGGAAATTTGGAATCAGGCGATCCTATTATGAATAACGAGTGAACGCATGTCTCTCTTAATGTCTCATTTGGACACTTCTTCTCTTGTGGAGCACTGATCACAGTTTGGATCACAAAATAGATACCTGTTTTTGGGAATACAGTTTAAATTAGTTTATAAAAGTTTTTATTAATTTTCATTACATACCAATTAATGTAAATAATATACTTTTATACATTTTTATACAACAATTATTATCAAATTATATATATATCAAAATATCAAAATATTATATAACTCGTACAATAATATTAAGTTATTGTAAGCTGTGGTCTAAACTTTTATTTATATACTTTTTCAGATCAGATTTTTGTTTTGTTTAATATATTAAGTTTAATTAATGCAAAATTTAAAAAATTAATATTATACAAAAAAAGTATGATATTATATAAAATACAAGGCTATTGATGACAAGTTTGTACCTATTATTATATTATTACACAAATTAGTATTTTGATGAAATAAAAGTACATTTCAAGGATAACATTATATTACTTTATAAGTATAAACACTTAGAACATTGTGACCTATTGTTGACCTTTTATTATTCAAATTGCAATCAAATAAATTGACAGTTTTTTCAAATAATGATGTTTTTTATTTATTTTCTTTCATTATTTCATATAAATTATATTATATATTATATWTTTGTTATATTGAGTGTTGAGCAAATATTCATACAAAGTAAAATAAAAATTTTGATTTCTAGGAAATTCATGAATATTTTAAAGTTTGAAAAATTGAAATAACAATTAAAAATGTTATTAAAATTTTACTTTTAAAATATACCCAATTTACGAATGTTTCGACTTAATTATATAACTATATTTATTATTGATTTATTTAAATTATCTTTTTAATTTAATTTTTAATTTAATTAATTATAAATCTTATAATTAAAAAAAATTCTTTATTCTTAATTGTAATCATTATAATATAATTATTATTTATTATTACTAATATATAAATATTATTTTACTTATAATTGCAAACTTGAACTGAACAATTAATTTTTATAAACATATAAGAGTTATTTAACAATAAACCATCAAAATTATGCAATATTTACATTTTATTCAATTTATATTAAATTCTTTTAAATTAAATACTTATGATTTATAAATGACTACAGTTTAGCATTTATTTCAAGGAAATAGCATAAACTTATATCATATTAGAAGTATTTTTAATTTTAATTTAGCAAAAATTAATTAACTTTATATAATTATATAATTACTAACTATAGCTAATATAATAATAGGGATTTGTTCATTAAATAAATTTAGTGGTATTAAAAATTAAATACTCTTTAAATTCAATACTAATACAACATAGATTTCTCAATATATTTTTCAACAAATAAATTATTACAATAAAAATAGTATATAAATTTATGTTGAATATAATGATTCAAAAGTGATATTTGAGTTATGTCATATTTTACAAATTATTGAAAATATTATCGGCTATGTGTTGTCCGACTCCATTGTGGTATAAAATGTATTATAATATATAATTATCCAAAATATAATATAACACCATATTTTATTGGACAGCAATGAGTTCTGGAGATTTACCACCGATGACTTAAGTCACAGAAAACAAGGTTAGTGAGTATACTGTAAAGTATATAAAGCATATTATATTATTATATGATATTTAATTATCAATAGAAATATTTAAAACAACCATTCAATTTATATATTATAACTAAATTAAGTTTGTAGAATACAATGTAATTGTATTTAATAATAATAATTTATACATAATATAGTAAAAGTAAATTACAACGGCATACATATGTAAATGTATAAACAGTATCGGTAATACAATAATATAAATATAATATTAACATATTTTTAAAATAAAATCATTTAACATAAATTAAATTATAACAATAACAATAATAATAACAATAAAATAAATAAAATATAATAAAATATAAGAAACATTTAGAAATCATAGTCGTCATCATCTTTGACTAATATACCGATTCTTTGACCAATAAAACGGACACATTTTGTCACTTTTTCTTTTACCAAATTAAGAGACATAGCGAGTAAAGCCATACCAAACAGTAAATATAGAGCACAGATGGCTAGTGTTATCTGGCCGTCGGCCGGTGTCGACAATACAGTTCTTCCGGGAACCAGATCTCCGAAGCCGATTGTCGACAGAGTGACAAAACAGAAATAGGAGGCGTCGAGAAAAGTCCAGTCCTCGGAGTTGGAGAAAAACCAGGCGCCGCCACAGATATAACTGATTACTAAAGTCAAGCAAACAGTTATGGGAATACTTTTTTGTGTTCCTTCGCTTTCGTCTTCTGATTCGTCGCTTTCATCGCTGGAACCGGTGCTCATCTGTTGCTGTAATGGTATTATTGATTGTTCCGAATATAATGGTTGAGCACCGGTATCATTGAAAAATCGGACAGAATTTACATGTTTAGCCATAGGATGATTGAGTCCTGAATTGATTGCTGTGTGAAAACTTGGAGGATTTGTGGTGGGTGTGGGCGATGGTGTTGGAGGTGGACCTGATAGTGACAATTACTATTATATTTAATGATAACTGACAACAATTGATTATACCTGGAAATCTTGAGTTAATGTCCATAATCTCATCATTAAGTGCATACTTATTGCATATGATTGGTGTTGAGTCCCGATAATCGCTGTATTTGTTTGACCGCCAATTTGATGACTGATTGTATGGCATATATAATAAACCACTTCTTGTATGAGTAGTCATGGGTTGCATTTCAATTTGTTGGCACACTTGAAGGTGCCGTCGACGCAATGATTTGCGCTTTTGGGACGGTTTTCGGTGACGTTTGGGTGCAATACATAGATAGCACAAACATTTCCAGTATATAAACTTAAATGAATGGGCCATTGCGTGACCAATACTTGATAAGCAAAACAATGTTAACGGTATACCTATTATAGCGTACAATATCGTCACTATTTTGCCCCAATCTTATCAATAAAAAATTAATTAATTTACAAAATTAGTTAAAAATATATAAATTATGAAATATTACCAGTTCTCGGAGCAACGTTTCCGTAACCGATAGTTGTTATAACTATTATAGAGTAAAGCAAAGACCCAGAGAATGACCACTGCGACGACTTTCGGATCAAATCATCACTGCCTTAAAGTAATCAATAATTTTTTTTAAAACAATTTTGATTAATAATTAGATATAATGATGTTTTATTAATATAATTAATATATTTAAGAAAATATTAATAATAACAACAACAAAACCAATTGATACCATCGTATCCTTTTCGGAGAACAGCTTCGAGAAGATTTTTCTCGAAGTGATCCAATGTGTCTTTGGCCGCTTGTGTCCACTCAAGTTGGTTGAGAACAGTACTCTCTTGTGTGATATTCCAGAGTTGTTGTATCATATGTTCCCTAATTGTCAACATTTCCAGTCGCTGTCGTTCTTCGTTCTTGAGCTCCAATGCCTGGAAAGTGAAGGCACCCATCACTGCATAACCAATAAGTAAAGTACAGAGACCTATGTGTGAGAACAAGAAAGTGGTCACTTGTCGGCAATAATAACAACATTTTCCGCATCGACTCAGATGTTTACGACCCGTAACTGCCATCACTACTAATTGTCATCAAATTATTTAATCAAATAAATAATAAAATTCAAAAAGAAATAATCCATCAATCAATCAATTATTATATCATTATTAGAATAATATTTAATAAATAATAAATATATCATATATTTAATGGTAAAACTTGTTAAATAAATACAGTAAAAACAATTTGTGAATTTTCAATACACCTTTAGAAATGAGAGATAACATCAACACAATGTATGGCAGAAAATATATGAATAAATACTAAAAATAGATTGTTTCTAAATTAAGACTAAATAAACCAATTTTTGGCACTAAGTATTTGCTTATATTTTCAATTAATTTATATATAATTTTTTCACTTTTCTAAATAAATAAACATTATTGTAGTGCAAAAATTTATTTAAATATTCTTAACATTATTTCATTAGTTTATCTTAAAATTTTGGTGATATTTATGCTAATGATGTTATTACAAATGTTCAGTCAATATAAAGCTTTTTTAAAACTATTATACTGTTATAAAAAAGTTGATCATATTATAAATATAAAAGAATCTTAAAAACAAAAACAACAATTTATTAAATAATATATTAAATTATGTAAAGTTATATAATTTTGATATAATTACGTAATAATAATTATTATGGCAATCATATAGTGTAATGTCAATATATAACATTAATTTATTATCAATAATATATTGCTTAAACTACTTGTAGAATAATTGTTGAATTATTGAATATTCAGATAAGCTAAAATAGCTATAGCTAAAATATACAAATAAAATTTTAATTGTATATTTAAATAATATGAACATTTTTATATTTTTAAAATAATAAATTTTCTATCTAAATATATTTAATTATTTATTAAATAATATTTATTGTCTAAATTACTGTTTAAATCAATCGACTTGGCTTTGAATCTAGGCTTGAATCACAATTGTTTCTAAACTAAAAAATAATTATAAAATAATTGTTTAAATAGATTTAATATATAATTGTAATTACAATATAAAATCAGAGTTAAACAAAGTTTTCAATTCTAACCAGTTGAGAATGCTAGAAAGCATTTCCACACGAATTCCTAATCATAATTAAAAATTAAATTCAGTATGATAAAATAAAATCAACTATAGTTATGTAGGGTATCAAACGATTTAGTATTACAAAATAAACAACTATAGTCATGTGGGGTATCAAATGATTCAGTATTACAAAATAAACTACTATTTTCCTAAAAAATAAACTTAAAAACGAAAAAAATAAAAAATCAATATTCAAAAAAATTCAAAAAAAAATTCAAAAAAAAAATTCAAAATTTTTTTAATTAATTTTTGGACACCATTTTCTTCAATTTCCTAAAAAATAAACTTAAATAAGAAAAAAAACAAAAAAAAATTCAAAAAAAAATTTGTAGCGGATAGTGGATTCGAACCTATGTCCTCGTGGGACAGACAGACCGACAGACAGACAGACAGACAGACAGACTTATAGAATGCATATACGTATTCCTTTCAGGAATTCGTGAAAAGATTGTGTCAAATAAAATGGAAAATTAAAAAAAAATCTTTTCATGTATTATACTTTTATTAAATTTTAAAAAATATTTTCAAAATGTCAAAATTAAGGTGAAGTTAAAAGACAATTACTTATAAATTCTCAATAATTTACATTTATATATTGATATAACAAAATTTCCATTAAAATATAAAAACATTTTCAGTAACTTTCATTATTTTACGAAATATTTCTTTAAATTTATAAAAACTATTTAATTTTTACTAAACTTAAAAATATATAATTAAAAAATACTTTATAAAAACAATTATAATATAGTATAAATTTATTTAGAATTTTATTTATAAATTTTTGTTTCACTTATTTATGTAAGAAAAGTTAATTGATAGTTAAAATAATTATTAAATACTATACATATTACTATTAGAGTATATTGAATCTACAGTATATAAATTATGTATTGTATTTAACTTATATTAAGTACAAATATTGCATTACTTTGAATGTAATAATTAGTGTTTTGATTTGAACTAAAAAAACTATTTTATTGGTTTAACGCTTATAAATGAGACTTACAATTATTGTTAGTGTGTCCATCAAACATAACCAGTGAACGTTATTCACTAAATTTTATTATAACTATAAATAACTAATTCAATGATTTTGAAAATATATAAGCATAAAATATTGCACAAATATTTATAAAAATTATATAAAAAGCAAAATGTTTTTAATTAAAATTATTTTTTGTTGACAMTAGAAATAATTTGTGTATATTTGTGTATATTATTGTTGTAAATATGCTGAAAACAAATGAATTATATATCATTTGCAAATATTAAAAAAATAAATAACTATTACAATAAATATTTGTATTTTAGCAATTATTATAACAACTATTTGATATAGATTAAATAATTATTCATCAATACTTTAAATAACTATATTACTAATAATATAATATTTTAAAAAAAAAACTTGAAAAGTTTTGTTTACTGAAATCTATAATGGCTTTTTGAGTCTGTCTGTCTGTGTGTGTGTGTGTAGCATTTCATTTTGCGAATTTTGAAATTCTGACTTCAGATTCGGTTAGAGGACTACTAATAATGTATTGAAAAGTTGCATCAAAATTTTGATATCTCTTCGGGAACATAGAAAAAATGGCGGCCAAAGTAAAGAAATTTTTAAGAAAATTTTTTTAAAGTATAGATTTGAATAAAGTATCAAAATCAAGCATAAGAAATATGCATTAAAATTTTGATATCTCATCGGGAACAGAGAAAATGGCGGCCTAAGTAAAAAATTTTAAGTAAAAATTTTAACTTTTAGAATTGTATAGGTATAGAGCATCAAAAATAAGATATAATAGCTCAAAATTATTTTTATAATTTTTCATAAATGGCGGCAAAAAAAATAGAAAATTTTATTCAAATTTTAACGATTAGAATTTTATAGAGCATCAAAAATAAGATAATAGCTCAAAATTATTTTTATTTTTACAAAATATGGTTGCAAAAGTATTATTTTGGCATACTGAAATATTTGATACCCAACATGACTATAATTGAGTATGTTTTGTCATACTGAATCATTTGATACCCAACATGACTATGGTTGAGTATATTTTGTCATACTGAATCATTTGATACCCAACATGACTATAATTGAGTATATTTTGTTATACTGAATCATTTGATACCCAACATGACTATAATTGAGTATATTTTGTCATACTGAATCATTTGATACCCAACATGACTATAATTGAGTATATTTTGTTATACTGACTATAAATACTGAATCATTTGATACCCAACATGACTATAATTGAGTATATTTTGTCATACTAAATCATTTGATACCAACAACTATTGTTGAGTATATTTTGACTATAATTGACTATAAGTATATTTTGTAATACTGAATCATTTTTGATTATATGTCTTAAATCAACTGACAATTAATTGGCGTATATTTTGTAATAATATTTGATTTATGTCTTAAATCAACTGTCGAAGATAATATTTTATGTCGTCAGTTTTTTTTCTGATAATGCTTTCTAGCATTCTTAACTGGTTTTATATAAAAATACTGTTAATTCTTTTTTAATTATTTTAATCAATCAATARTATGTAGTTTAAAAAAAAAATATTTTCTAACATCATTAACGAAATAAATAAATTTACCTTCAATTTTCAACCTATTTTTATTATAGATGTAAGATTCAAATTACATATTTTCTATTTAAAATTATACAAACAATTTTATTTATCGTTATATTAATTATCTTTTCATAAAACTACATACTTTAAGCACACTTATAATCAACATTATAATTATTACGGTAATTATAATAGATATATACATTATCATAATAGTGTATAAATATTTAATAATTTGTTATTTATAATTAAATTAATCTTAATGTACAATAAGCTTAATACAAAACAATTAAATTATTATGCATCATACAGTATAAAACTAAAAAAAAATTATATTTATATATATTATTGTTTATTAAAAAATAATAATAAATTAGTCTTTTTTTAATCGTTTAAATGATGTTATAATACGATATCTATTGTAAGCAATCATTAGTTGTAAAAAATTGATTACATATATTGCAACACAAACTATACAAAAGTTTTTTAAAACAAATGCCAAAATATATGCCAAATATAATGAACCCAAGTTTGATATTAACGACACTATTATGTAAAGTTTGGTCAGTAAAAGGTTTGTATGCAAAATGTTGGCCACAATAGCCTGTAATGAGTATAGTATAACACCAAACACAGGGTTCGGCAAATCCAACGGTGCGGACAACAAACCAAAACCTTTGCCATAACTGGGAAATACAAATCAAATAACAAAAACAATTAAACGGTATTTAAAAAATAGTTAAAATTAAATTTAATCTTTTCTTTAAATTAATTAATGGATACAAACCTCGAGAGGAAAACCTTTGAACAACTGATATATGAATTAATATCACAGAAGGCGTCATATGTTTGGCCATTTTGGTGACGGATTTCAATGGACAGCGAATATATTGACAATAAAAGACCAATCGATGAAATACACGACAAATAAATTGTGTTTCGAGACAACTGAGAGATTAATTGTTTGGTCGATACCATTGTCACCAAAGATAATATCAACAATTATTTCAATAATAATAATACTGTAATAATAACTATTAGTATCAGTTAAGTGACAGTCAATAAAACTAATGTATAATCAATTAAATCAATATTAATATACACTTTGAATGTATTAATACTGTCAATAGTAATCACATGTACTGTTAATACAATTCTAAATGTTAAATGCCTTTTATATAATTTGTTCAAAGCATTAATAAGTAAGTAGTTTATTGAAAAAAGGGCTTAACTTAGAGAAATTAATTAATTAATGTAATAGACTGTGACGTCTATTATTATTAACAATGTTGACAACATGTTGTTCAACAGTACAGTSTTAATAAAATATTCAYCATTGACTACAGTATATGCGCCAAAATTTGTATCATATATTAATATATTATATAAGTTTATATATACATACAATTTTGGATTAATATAAATAATGTATTGTATAGTACAGTGTTGTATATAATAAGCTCCTCCTTTAATACTATTAATGTGTAAAAACGTGGCGCAAATGTATATTATATTGAATATGCATTTAATAAATAACATGTGTTTTGATATATAATCACATGTTTTACACTCGACTTTTAATTTCAAGTTTTTTTCAAATCCTAAAATACATCAATCAATGATATAATTGAAACAATTAATTAATTGTGAACTCAATTATCACCAAATGCTTCCCAAACCTAAGTTCAATGTTAATTCAGACACATCTGCTGTCAATACAAGCCATGGATGGCAACAATCAGCGCAACAGTCATCGCAATCGTGGTTTGATTATAATCGCAATCAATCGCTGAATGGATCAGTTGATTATCATAGACAACAACAATACCAACAAAATCATCAAAGATTTCAATCACAACCACAACAAATGAATTTTCATCATAATTATGGACACAGTTTTAATTACGGCAATTATGGCCAACAATTTAATAATCAAAATAATTTCAATAATAAATTTAATAATTATCATAAAAATTATATACAAAATGTCAATCACAATAATAACAAGTCATTTAAGACAACGACAGTAACCGATGGATCTAATTCTGATAATAACAATCAAAAGACATTCAGTTGTCACACATGTGTTCGTCAGTTTCCTAACCAACAGCTCTTAGATCAACACATTAGTCAACATATAGTGGTTTGTATTAATATATTATACATATTATATGATTTGATTAACTAATTATAATATTAAGATTAAATTATTAGTTAATCATTAATTAAATTATAACAATTACTTATATTTTATGATAAAAAAGTGTGGTTTAGATGACTGTACATTCAAAGCACATCCCAAAGTGATTGACAATCACCAAAAGATGCAACACTTTTGTTTTAAAGATAAGACTCAGATCAAGAAGTTTATGTCATTGGATACCGAAGAGGATATTAAAAAGTGGAGAGAAGAACGAAGAAAACATTTTCCCACTAAAGATAATATTCGTCTTAAAGACGAAGTTAAAGAAAAAGAGAAACTCAAAGACATTGAAAGGAGAAATAAATTGTCTGAAGAAATGACTGCAAAACAATGTGATCGACGAGAAAATGATAGGAAGTCTAAAGATAAGAGCAATAAGAGGTCAGCAAATTATAATAACAATAGTAAGCGATCAAAAAGTGGCCAAACTTATGAACCAGTGGTCAATAACCGAAAATTAACACTTTTTCAAAAGGTTTTGCATTTTATTAACTTTTTATATAAATATCAATTTTTTAATTTATTTTAATATAATTTTCAGTTACTTTTGAATGATATTCAAAGAAATGAGTCAAATATTATGGATACAATTGAGAAGATTGTCGAAAACAATTTCTTCGAAGAGAGTAAACTGTAATTATCGTTGATTTAAAAAAATTCTAAAAGTGATAATTATATATAAAATTGTTTTACTACTAAATTAATTGTAGTTAATTATACAATAATATTTAAATGATTTATAAATTGATTAATAATAATATTGAATAATTACGATATTTAATTAATTAGACAAAAAAAATAATTTATATGAGACTGAAATCATTACTTTCTGTTTGAGATGAACTTTGTATTTCGCTATAATACTGGCGCTTCAATTCATCTAAAGTATCTCTGTTTGGTATTTGTCCATAACTTGTCAATGTCTTCAGCATAATAGCCAACCTATATTTAGCTCTGTTTTCTTTATTGGTTTCTCCAGTTATTATTGGCTTTAATTAATAAATAAAAAATTAATTTTCAATTAATATGTCATGACATATACTGTACGAATACAATGTAATAAAATTGTTAAATACTTGATCTTGAATTTCGTTTAATTGTTGTGCAAAAATCTGTGCCATTTTCAGTATATATGGATCCAATGAAGTGAGATGTGCCAAACGTAAGCCATAGAGTACTTCCTGAGTGACTCCCAGCTCCAGGATATGTGTGAAAGTATAGGAATCACAATTTGGACGCTCTATAGTCAAGTATTCAACGGCAAAATGATAACTAAATATAAGATAATTAATTAATATTTTATTAAAATTATTATTTCATACAAACTTTGAAACATTGAAATAAAAGTCTTCAAGTTTTGTTAATTCAATAAAATGTGTGGCAAATAAAGTGAATGCTTTTGTTTGGATAAGTTGTTCACAAATAGCCCAACAGAGACCAATTGCCTCATCAACACTAGTTCCTCGTCCCAACTCATCGATAATAATTAATGAACTATCGGTGCAATTATGCAAAATATGGCTAATTTCTCTCATTTCTACCATAAATGTTGACGCATTGCTCTCGATTTCATCATTATTTCCGATTCGTGAGAACAGTTTGTCGCAGATCCTGAAGCACCCAAACTCTGCCGGAATGTATGAACCAATTTGTGCCATCACTTGAAGTAGTGCTACTTGTTTTAAATAAATGGATTTTCCACTCATATTTGGACCGGTAATTATCGTGAAATTACTGTCTTCACATATAAACTAATGTTAAATACAATCAAATTATAATAAAGTATAATAAGTGATAAATTTTTAAACCTAAAAAATAATACCGTTTTATTAGCCACTGGTTTAGTATTCAAAACTTTCTCAAGAATTGGATGAATGCCTTGTTTTATAGCAAAATAAGAGCCAAATGTTGGACGAACCCAATTGCCAACAGAGCACTGATAGGCCAATGAAAATATGACATCAATTTTGGCAATAATTTCCGATAAATTATACAGACATCCGATATGTTGGCGAATGTTTCCAATTAATTCAGATATTACTCTAACAAATTAAACATAAAAAAGTGATTAAAATGTTTAATACTGTTATAAAACTAACGCATCGCTCATCAAAAAGATCTCTTCGACAGCAGAATTAATTCTGTTATTCTTTGAAATCAATTCTTGTGTTGTGAATGACAATACATTTCTTTTGGATTCAATTCTTATAAAGTCTTGTGGCAGCGAAAGGTTTATTTTGTGGATCTCTTTGACGGCAATTTGTAAGTGAAATCCTCTATTGGAAGTGTAAATAACTTTTAACGGCATCGACAGCTTAGCGCTGTAATCATCACTAATATATTTGATGTCATCGACCAGTTCCGAGTAGACCTGTCTGGCGATATCCAAGAGCCGATTGACACCTTTTTTGATTGCATGGCATTTCTCGAGTCTCATGCTGTGAGCATTTTTCGTGTATTTACACGACTCGAGGATCACTTTATTTATTTGTGTCATTAATATTTCAAATCGTGGATCACTTAAGAGGTCTGTGAACTCGTTGAACACATCATTTTCAGACGTATTCAGTATTTGAATTAACGATTCAATCAGTGACACCACATGTTTGATAATTATAATACACTCGATCTTGATTTCAGCACTTTTTGTTGACTTAATTTTTGGTGTTTGGACTAATTGAGTGATAACTCTCTCCATCTCAATCGATGTCAACTGAGCCAACAGTGAATCCAAATTGTTAAACATTGTCTGTGAACTGATTATCTCTTCAATCATATCCAATCTCTTGTCGATGACATTGGTATCGGTCGACGGCTGTAATATGTTTGATCGCAACAATCGATAGCCCGACCGGGTCTTAGTTCGGTTAAGTACACCAAACAGTGTGTGACTTGATTTGGGATCATTTAAGTTGACAATCAGTTCTAAGAGTTTGGCTGTCTTCGAGTCAATAGACATAGTATAGTCTGAGCACTGGTACATCACTCGCAAAGATTTGTCCGCATATATAATGTGTTCATTCAATTCAATGTATTTGATGAGTGCCGCACACGAAGACAAACAATAATATTTGTCTTTGAGATCGATCTCAACGTTCTTATAGTCATCACAACAAAGCCGTCGGATTGTATCCAAACCCGAGAGTTCATTGAAATGCTTTCTGTCGAGTGATTTATATAATGACTGCGAACAGTGATCGACAAGTATGGCGACCAAACGGCTGTCACTGTTGCAGATAGAGTTGGGAACAATCACTTCATTTGGACGAAAGACAGTGCATTTGGTGCGCAAGTAGTCGTAGTCAACATTGTCCTCAAATTGACTCAACACAAGAACCGGATTATAGAGATCAATGAGCGCTAAACCGATGACGTGTTTGGCACGACCTCTGCCTTCGGTCACTGCCATTATGACCGTCCGCTCGCTATGACTGGTAATCGATGACGTCTTAACAGTACTGTTTGGGTTGTAAATTGGTGTCCGAGTGGTTGGGATAAGTCTTTCATTTGGTAACCATTTGGGTACTGATGTTGTCGTTGTTATAGTAGTTGCGGCCTCTGTCCACAGTCCGGGCATTTGTGGTCGCAATCCGCCGAACAGATTGTTTTGACTATCGATACTTGTTTTGTTGCCATTCGTACCAAACATGTCATGATATCCATTCATATCTGTCGTACAACTGATGGTATGTCTATAATCACCCGTTTGTCGATACGTTGGAAATATTTGTGACATTTTCTTAACAAACAAAACAACAAATATTTATATCTATTATAATAACAATTGATTTGGGAATCAATTAATTGAGTCAATGATTGCGTCACTAAATGTGTTAATCGTTTGAATTAAATGACGGACTAATAGACCAATAGTTTACTCATTACTCATACGTAACGACCCGTTAGTGATCTGTAATTGCTTTGAGTGTCCAAACAGTCTATCGATTATTATTTTAATACTAAATATACTATAAAAGTAGTCTAAAGTAGTATTATATTTAAAATATTAATTTATTTAAAAAAAACATTTTATTAAAAAATTTATTATTTCTACAGAATATTCTTGACTATTACTTTTAAAAAAAAGTTTTATAAACAATATTTTATTTTACTATTAATATTAATTATTTTGTGTGAAATATATATATTATATAATATTTAATTTAAAGTATATATAAAATTGATTGATAAAATCAATTGTCATAACTTGTGTGCCATTGTTTGATCCTTTTTGTTGGCCACGAATACATGTGAATAAATACACCGACAAAGTAGACAACAATGGCTATAACGGCACAAATAATCATAAATATAATCCTTAATATCCAACTCATGTGTCGAAGTATACCGTATGGCCAGAGATCGTGAATAAGTCCTAAATATAGACACCAAATGCTATACAATAAGACAGTTGTCATAAGTATTGCAATTTCTATCAGTTTTTTGACCCATTTTTTGTGATATGTTATCAGTATTTCAGATAATAGTAGTGGAAATATAATGGTATGCTTTTATGTAAACAAATTGTAATTAATTGAAAAAGTTATTTATAAGATCAGCAAAAATGTTGTTTAATAGTTATGTTTGTAATTTACAGTTAAATGGCTTAAGAAAACAGGATTTCGTCGATGAAATATCTGATCGGATATTAATTTCCCTTTGATTGATATTAACAGGAAAAACATGACAAATACAAACTAAATATTTTTCAATAAAATAATCAATTATTTTATTTATTTACAAATTACTTGAATTTATGGGTAGAACATACCGTTCCCAATGGAAAAACTAGTGAATGAAATAATGTATCGCGAATTTTGTACATCCATTCAATTGATGGACTTTTCATGGGCTCATCAAACATATAATTTGATTTAAAACAATCGCATATCAAACAAAATAAAAAGACAATAAAGTTTATGATCTGAAAAATTTTTAATTGAATATTTTAAATGAATATTTTAAATATTATTTTTAAAAAATCTAAACCAGGTTCCAAATGGTCAGGTATTTCAATTTCCAACCAAACGTATACTCTCCCGGCAATAATGTAGTGTTAGTCAGAGCCAACTCATTGTCGTTTGTTTGCCAATAATAACCTTTTGGATGAGACAATTGAAATAGTAGTGCAAAACCATAACATCCGACAGCTATTAGATGTATTAAAACTGATACAACTCTCCAAGTGTACCACAATTTTATGTTCATAACTTATTTATCAAATATTTTTTAGTCTGTGTTTTACTGTAATGCCATTTATTTTGAAATTACATATAATCTCGCGATAGTCTTGCATTTTAGCACTTACATTGTATCTACATTTTAAATATTAATAATTGATTTTGATTGATAATTATAATAATCAATAGAATTATTAATAATTTTAGATATCAATAATTATAGAGTAATCACTGGCTATTAAATTGTTTCAGACCCGTCGATAGTCTGGATCACTACTATGTCGGACCAGTAAGTCTCCGGACATACCTTTTATATACTTATTATATTAAAATAATATTTAGTTTTATTTATCTCTTAATATGTTTCTAACTAATAAAAGGTGTATTAAATAAAAATGATTAAATTAATACAGAAAGTAAAATCCTGGATATGACATCATTTCTACATTTATGAAACGATTTTTTGACTCAATATAGCGTAATAATAATAATAAACTACTAGAAAATTTTTATAAAATTAATTTATAATAAAACAATTTTTTAAAAATGATTACATCTAACAATATTGTTAAAATATGTGTAATATTAGTAATCAATTATTTGCTACAAAAAGTTTATAACACTGACACCAATTGTGGAACACCTGGTGTTTATGATCTAACAAAATATACAATTGTTGGCTATAATTATAGTTTAAGTAATAAATTAATCAATTTTATTAATGGCACTGTTATTCAATATGAGTGTATTGATCAAAATGATGAAATAATGGACAAACTAAYCAATCAATCAATGAGGATATGCGACAATGGTAAATGGTCCAGGGGGGGCATACACAAATGTGGTCAGTCATATATTACTTAACTGATTATACAGTAAATCAAATTTTAAATTATAAGTAATAGAAATTCATACAAATTTTAATTGATAGCTAAATCATTAGATAATAAAACTGTTGTTCAATACATAGAAGTTTATTATAAAGATAATGACAAAGATATTAGTTTGGATATAATTAGACCAAATCAAACCAATACAATGCAAGCCGCATATCGGGCCCCGTACTGGCCATACAACTGTATCAATACAACAATCAATAATTCATCAATAGTTGGTCAACAGTTCATAAATATTCAATTAAGTAATAAAATATTTTTTAATTATATTCAATTATCTATTGCTTTTCCTAATATTAATAAACCAAATAACATTACATTACAAACATCGATTCATTCAAATATTTTGAATTGCATTAAAAAAGATATTTTTTATAATCAAAGCAATCATTTTTACGAAACAGTTTCAATAAAATGCAAATTTAATGAAACAAATATTCTACAAAATAGAGAAAAATTACAAAATGTTCATAAAATAAATAAAATTAAATTACAGTTTGATATGAAACAATTAAATGATAAAATTAATAATTTATCATTTATTAAAGTAATGATATGCAAAGTAAAATTATTCAGATATGATATGAATAATTGTGGTCAACCCGAYAAACCATTGAACTCAATAGTGTCGTCTAAAGATAATTACCAACAATTTAGTTGTCTTGAAGGCTATGAGTTGAGTCCGTTTCGGTCCAACGGTTATCATGTAGTTTGTAATGTCAACGGCGAGTGGGACTCAGATTTTCCCATTTGTTTGGAGAAAACATATTGTAATTTATTTGATAATTTAACGCAAACTTCACCTAAAATTACTTATCTTAATAATAATAATGAGTTTGAAGTAATTAATGGTAAAAACACAACTAATAATAACACAATTGCTAGCTTTTCGTGTGAAAACATTACCATCGATGACATGAAAACAAAGCTAAGTCCTGGTGACAAATCTTTTAGGACATGTATTAGAGGCAAATGGACTGATTCCGAGTTTAGTTGTATTATCAATGATAATAACTTTTACAGTAGTTTATTACACAATAAATTTTTATTAATAACTATCATTTGTTTAATTTTATTAATTATTATAATATTAGTTGTAATGGTTTTAATATTTTGGTTAAAATCTAAAACGAAACAAAATTTAGTAATTAATGATATTTATAATGAAATTGAACCGACACATCAATACGATAGTCTCAGATTAAGTAATTTGTCTAATAATTTAAATTATCAACTTTTTTATGAAGATATAAATCAAAATTATCAACAATTAAATGACACTAATTTGGTGAATGATGATGGTGAAATTATTATTAATAATAATAATACAAATAATTGTTTAAATGGATCACAGAGTCAATGCAATGAACCATTAAATTGGATGTGGGCTTCAAATAATAATTATATTTAAATATTTAATTTTTAAATAAATTTAATATCCATAACAATATATTTCAAAATCTTTTCCGGACAGGTACTTTATTTATAATATTACAATATTTACAGTTTTATATTTAAAATATAATAAATAAGTTAGTCGTTAAGTTAGTTGGTAATTATCTGATTAAATAATTTAAAATTTATTACAAGTATTTTATTTAAATAATTTAGTTTTGAGTGAATCTTTTATAATTAAATTTTGATGCCTCAGTGACAATGATTTTTATAACTTGTTTGACATTGATTTTTGTAATATAAAAATGTAAGAAATGTCAAAACCATGCTTTACTTTTAATAATTAAAACCGGTATTTTTTATACACATCAGATAATTTTGAACATTTTAATTATAAATATATATTTTTTTTGATGTAAAGTTTATTGAAATATTTTTCAATTTTTATTTATAAAACTAATAGTAAATATTAGATAAAAATTTTCCAAAAATATTTCACCGACTGTTTGTCTTTAAGGACGAAACTTAAAAATTATTTTATTATATATATATATATATATATAACATTCAATAATTAAATTGAAATAATGAAAATACTGTATTTACAATATAATACATAATAATAATAATAAAATATATAATAAATAAATTTACAATAATAACAATATAAAACAAGACACAAAATAATAACAACTAAGTTATTTATTGCTTAAATTTTTGTATATAACAAAAATAAATGCCATAAAATTTTTAATATTTATTTTTTWAAATTTATTTTATTATAAATGTAATATTTTTCAATAGTAACACATTTTATTATGTTTTTATTTGATGTTAAACACAATTATATGTTACACACATTTGGTGATCCAATAAACTATTTTATCCTAAACAGCAAATCAAATGTATTTCAATGTTGACATTTCTAACATATTATATTTTGTATATCTGTAATAATATCTAAAATATTTATTGTTTTAATTGAATAAATAATAAATTATTGTTTTGTGAATAAATCTGTAAAAAAAATTTAAATACAAGCTTTTGTTAAAAGTGATTTGATAATTAAATAAATTTGGTTTAAATAATTATCTATAGTAATATCAATTATAACCATTTAATTTTGTTTCTGTAATAAATAAAATAAAATAAAAGTTTTTATTTAAGAAATCACAAATAAAAATAATAAAAATCTCAATTTCTAATTATAAAATCAGACATAAGTTATATTATCATTAAAGAAATATAAATTTTTCCATTTCAAGTTCATTTCTATAACTTAACGTTTTGTATAAAATTATATATTAAATATATAAATAACTTTAAATAATCGACATTTTTAAATATAATAATAATAATAATAATTGAGTGTAATTTGTTTTGTTATGTGAATAAAACAGTACTGTAATTATATCTAATTCTGATTTATCATTATTTTGGTATTTAATTTAATCAAAATTTTTATTGTTTTTTTTATTTGTGGAGTGAAATAATCTTTTGAAGGACAGACTTATTAAATGATGATTACAATCAAAAATAAAAAATAAACTATTATTTTAAAAATAATGTCCATTAACTTACCAAATAATTTATTACATATAATTCCATGTTATTAAATGTTATGTCTAAATAATCATCAATTTTATCTACTTTTACATTTAGTTTATTGAAAAACAATTTAATCACTGAGTATACCATTACAAATTATAGTTATTAATCAAGTTTTAAAAAAACAATTGTACTATTGGTGCATTTAGAGTATATAAACAGTGTAAATAAATTATTTAAATGAGCATGATAAAATTTGTCAAAAGTTTGTTCAATTGGTAATTAACAASTTTGTCATACATTTTCAATAATAAATTAATGTATTATAAGTGTGGAGATCATTATTTAAAGTTAATTTTATCAATATTATCAATATTTGTTGTTTCAATATTGTTAAAATGTGAACTTTATATCTCATTAAAAAATGTTTTACATTTGAACTTCATATTAGTGCAACTTTATTACTGATGATTAATCAATCAGTAGTTTGTGGGGGTTTGTCTCAATAATAACCTGTATTGTGATTGAACTATCTATATATATATTGTGTAATGTATTTGAAATCCTATCAAATCACATAACCAACCGTAAAGACTCAATAAATGTTTTGACTAAAACTGTGCTGTACTATAAATATATTATAAGTTAAGTTAAAATATAAAAATATCGAAGTATTAATTACTTCAATTACTATCTCTCTCATATATATATATACACACACCTGAAAGCATATCAATATATCACTGCTATTATACACATTTTTCTAGGATTTTAATTGCATTTGATTTAATGCATTGAAAGTGTTTTAATAATTAAATGTTTGATTCTCTAACTTTCAGTGAACTGTTGACATATATTGTGCTAATAATTAGAAAAAAAAACTATTAATGAATTATTAAAAYTTTATGCAAAACGTGATGAGTTTTTAAATGAATAAAATATTTATTTATAATAATAATAATAATAATAAATTAATAATACTAAAAATAATAATAATAATATTATTAATATTAATAATAATAAAGTAATTGGTTTGCCTGTTAAAATTTTAATGAATAATGGACGAATTTTGTGGCACACAATTTTGGGTAAATTTTTTTTAAAGAATTTATTATAATAATTTAAAAATAACTATTCAAGTTTTTAATTCATTTCTATTTAATAAAATTATAGATATTTATTTWAAATATAGTACATTTGCACTTATAGTGCATATAAATAAAAAAAAATAAAGTGCATCATATTTCTATGTACATCAATATTGTAATAGATATCAAGTTTCTATGTATTAATATATATTATAATCTAAAGAAGCTTTCAATTTTAAAATAAAAGTTTAATGGCATTCAGTTAAACTTTTTTTAAAAAAAATCCCATACTTTTATAATATAAATTTTGATAGAGATCAGTAATTACATGTATTTTATTATTAAAATAATAATCATTTTCATTAACAATTCATTTGAAAACTACCCTTTTTTGTAACCCAATTGTCTCGATGTGTGTGTGCTTTAAAATACTTGAATATAATTCAATATCATATGAATTAACTATTTCAATGATAATACGAAAAAAATCTTATATATTATAATTTTCATATAGTTTTCTCACACTTTTTCTTAATATTTTTTATTAAATGACTTATGAGAGCAATTAAGGGAAACCTTTTTCTCATATTTAATATAAAACATTTACTATTTGACTTTCAGTGTAATATTAATGATGTGTGTATTATGTTGTATAACTTTTGTGATCATTAAGTTTTGAATAACTTTTTAAAAAAATGATTGTTTTAATAAAGGACTCATCGATTTGGTGGTCATCTGAACCAACATTTAGTTTGTGTTTTCGTGAGACACTTCTTGTATGGATTCCTTGTGTCTTCGTCTGCATTATAGCTGTTTTTAATTACATTCGCTATAATGAGCGCACAATTAGTAAAGTATTTGAATTCAATCAAATCAGTAAATATAAAATTGTATGTATCATATGATTTAATTTTTCATTACACCTATTATATGTTAACTCAATTTATTTAAAACTATATATTAATAATAAATAAATTTCTTTTTATTAAAAACAGTCATTAACTGTGTTGCTAACGGTTCTTAGTTTTTGTGATACAATTAATTCAATAATTAAATATATTCAATATGTTTCATACTATAAATACCAATTGTTATCGTCATTCATCCAACTCTTAACATATGTAAGTTTATTAACTTTAAACAATATTATATAAATTATGTATTTTGACATAAAAATTGATTGCCAAAAATACCTAAAACGTTATATAAAGTTAACTAAATTAATGTATTGTATGAAATGATTTATTTTATTTTGTGTGACAGATGTTAGTGTTAGTCATACAGATATTTAACCGTAAGAAAGGTATTATCGCTTGTGGATCACTATTTATTTTTTGGTGTCTCCTATCCATATGTAATGCAATTAATGTTTATTCATTAATAAGCCAAACATTGCAAATGGATAGCAAAATATCCAGTCATTACATAGAGACGGATCAGATGAAGATAAGTACAACATTTGCTAACTTTCCACTTGTTTTGGCACAACTTGTTTTGAGCTGTTTTTCTAATGCATCGCTAAATAAGTCCCAAAAAGTAATTATAAATAACAATAATAAATATTTATAACTTTGATATATCACAAAATTTTTATGATAATACTTAAAATGAATAGAAATAATTGCATTTTTATATTAATAGACTCGTAATCCCAAAGAAACGGCTTCTTATTTCTCAAAGTTATGGTTTTTCTGGTTTTCCTCAATGATATACAAAGGCTTCAAAAAATCTTTAATACAACAAGATATGTGGCAATTGAGTGAACAAAACAGGACTCAGTTTATAGCTAACAAATTAGACAATTATTTAAATAAAAACCAAAGAAATAGTGATAAAAAATCTACATTAAAAAATCAAACTATTAATAAAAATAATAATAATATAAATTCAGTCAATGACATGAACATCATATGTCCTATATTTCGCATGTATTGGTCATATCTGTTATTTATAGCATTTATTAAGTTTATCCCAAGTGTTCTCACTTTTGTCAGTCCACTCATATTAAATGAATTAATTGAATTCATGAGATCTGGTGAGTCAGTCCTCTTAATATTATATTTTTACAATTTTTTTTATAAAAAAATAATAATTATTATTATATATAAATATATACAGTATATAATCATCAGACAAAATTAATTACCAATAATACTATATTATCGTAATATTGAAATTAGATAATTTCCTATTAAATATAACAATAAATACAATAGCATTCTTAGGAAAATTATTTCTAATGCACATAAATATTGAAATTATTAGTTTACGTAAACATGTAATACTAGTTTATTTATTACCTTATTTTGCTAAATTTAAATATTTGCTTAAATAATTTTAATAATAATATTTCTTTATAACTGTAAACATTAGCTTAGATAATAATGGGTAACATAGATTTACTTTTTATCTTTATTATAGTAATACTAACATTTTATCACCTAATTATTATACTTTATAACACTATATATAAATATATAATTTATTAGATATATTACAAATTAATAATCATAAGTGTTGTACTGTTATTTAATATAACACAATAACATTATCATATATATCAATAGTTTCAAAATTAAAATCAAAGTCCAATATTGAATTGAATGTTTGAAAATTGCAAAATGCATTGAAACAAATCTTAAACTACTAAATATTTATATAGGATTTTTAAATTTTTATTAACTTTCAAAATGTTTATAAATTTATTGCAGACTAAAGATTATTTGTATGATGTTATTTAATTATAATTATACCGATAGCAACAAACAMACACACACACACACACACACACACACACACACACACACACACACACACACACACACACACACACACACACACACACACACAACACACACACACACACACACACACACACACACACACACACACACACACACACACACACACACACACACACACACACACACACACACACACACACACACACAGACACACACACACACACACACACACACACACACACAATGAATAAAAAATAATTGATATTTGCACCAATAGGTCAATACGGTGATTGTAGTCAACCCTTATGGCACGGATTTTTATTTGCAATTGTGATGTTTATGTCATCAACAGTGGAATCGCTTCTTAATTCACAATATGATTATCACATCTTTACTCTTGCAATGAGAATAAGATCGGCACTCATATCAGTTATATATAACAAAGTGATGAAACTGTCGTCAAATGGTAAGAAAGTGTTCACAACGGGAGAGATTGTTAACATAATGTCAGTGGACACCCAACGGGTCATGGAGTACGTCCAGATCGCCAATCTTTTATGGATATGTCCCCTTCAAATAGGAATCAGTATTTATTTATTGTGGCAAAAGCTTAGCTACGGTTCATTGGCCGGACTCGGAGTAATGTTACTATTGCTTCCCATCAATGGCTTCATCGGTGCACTGATGCGTAAACAACAGATCCATCTATTGAAACAAAGAGATCAACGAACCAAACTTATGAGTGAAATACTAAATGGTATTAAAGTTCTTAAGTTATACGCGTGGGAGACATCATTCGTACAGTTGATACAGAAGTTTCGGTCGAAAGAGTTAATGAATCTCAGAAAACAATCATTCCTTTCGGCCGGCATTACGTTTGCCTTCAATTCGGCCCCGTTTTTCGTATGTCTATTAAATCAATTTATATAATTTAAATAATTTATATAAAATTAAAACTATATTTGAATGTATACTATAGGTGGCTGTCGCCAGTTTTGCCACTTATATAATRATTGACTCCAATAATGTATTGGACGCCCAAAAAGCGTTTGTTTCTCAAACCATATTCAATATTCTTCGTCGACCTCTTGCTTTCTTTCCACAATTGATTACATCAACAATGATGGTATGATTTTTTAGTTTTTTATAACATATTTTTATTACTAAACTTTATAAACTAAACTTTATTTTCTAAAAAATAGTTTTTCGTATCAATTCGTAGAATAAATAAGTTTATAAATTGTGATGAATTGAAACCTAATGTGTTATCCAAAGATGGAAATAATCTGGAAAATGGTTTTAAAGAGAAGAATTTAATCCATGACAAGAAAACAAATGATTCACAGATTGTGTTAACAAATGCCACTTTTAAATGGGATTTGGAGGACACGACTCCTATATTGTCAAACATTAATCTCGATATCAAACCAAATAAATTGATTGCAATTGTCGGCAAAGTTGGTACCGGAAAGTCATCGCTATTGTCGGCACTTTTGGGTGAAATGCAACAAATTAATGGCAATATTTATATGACTGGATCTCTAGCTTATGTGCCACAACAGGCGTGGATCCAAAACGCTAGCGTAAGAAATAATATATTATTTGGAAAGCCATACAAAAAAGATCTTTACAATCAAGTGATCCATAGCTGCGCTCTTGAACCAGACTTTGCTTTGCTAACAGGTTTGAGAAAACAGTTTTAAAAAATATATTTTAATTTTATTTTTTTCGGACAAATAGGCGGAGATATGACCGAAATAGGCGAGAAAGGTATTAACTTAAGCGGTGGCCAAAAACAACGTATCAGTTTGGCTCGGGCTGTATATAGCGATGCCGATGTCTATCTATTGGATGACCCATTGTCCGCAGTTGACTCTCACGTCGGCAAACATATCTTTGACAAAGCTATTGGACCCAAAGGATTACTTAAGAATAAGACTAGAATATTGTTGACACATAAGATAGCGGTTCTGCCACATGTCGATGAAATTGTTGTACTCAAAGATGGATACATATCAGAAATTGGTTCTTACTCTCAACTAATCCGAAACGGCGGTAGTTTTGCAGAATTTCTCGCSGAGTTTATGGTTGAGGGACCCGAAGAAATAGTAGAACCGGAAGATATGGAAATTATCGAAGAGATGGCCACTCATATCGAGCGACAACTGTCACGTTATTCAAACAGAGGAAGTATTAGACGAAGATTTTCCATGAGAAGCAACTCAACGATTAGTGTCGCCGAATCGGAAATGTTGGAACAAGTGGTGAAYCAAAAATCTGAAGACGAAATCAAAATGCAAAACTCAAAACTTATATCAAATGAAGAGATGAAAACCGGTTCCGTTGGTTTCGCTGTTTATTACGACTATATGAAAGCCATTGGCATATTAGGTACAGTTATTATTATTATATCATATATTGTGGCCAACGCTTTCAATGTTGGATCCAATGTCTGGTTGAGTGAGTGGTCAGATGACGATAACAAGAATGCCACACATACTATGTCGACGTCTTGGAGACTCGATGTTTATGCTCTTCTTGGTTGTGGTCAAACTGTTTTCATATTGATAGCCACAATAACACTCAACTTAGCCTGTCTTCGTGGATCAACTACTCTTCATGAGCTTATGCTCAACAATGTTATACGTCTTCCGATGTCTTTCTTTGATACCACACCTATAGGTTTGTCRAAAATGCATAAACAAACAAATTAGTTATTAATACATTTTTAAAAATTAAATTTTTAGGTCGTATTTTGAATCGATTTTCAAAGGACACTGATGTCACTGATATAACACTTTTAGTGGCTTTGCGTACGTTTGTCATTGAATTGTTCCGTGCGTTAGGTAGTATTGTCATCATCGGTATGGGAACACCTATCGTATTGGTGGCATTCATACCGTTAGGTATTCTTTATTACGGAATTCAAAAGTACTACATCTCGACGTCGCGTCAATTGAAACGTCTGGACTCAGTGTCCCGTTCGCCGATTTATTCGCACTTTGCTGAGACAGTGTCCGGCGCTTCGTCTATCAGAGCTTACGGCGCCGTTAATAGGTTTATAGAAGAATCCCATTTTAAAGTCGATGAAAATCATAGTTGTTATTATGCAAGTCTTGTATCCAGTCGTTGGCTTACTGTTAGACTAGAGTTTTTAGGTAATTATAAATTTATGGCATTACCGGTAATCTTAATATTTTTTAATTACCGTAAATTTTACTTTATTTTTTCAGGCAATTGTGTGGTATTTTTCACGGCGTTATTTGCTGTACTATACAGAGGAACCTTATCTCCCGGAAGCGCTGCGTTATCCATAACATCTGCGCTGACCATTACGGCAACTCTCAATTTATTGGTCAGAGGAAGCACTGATTTGGAGTCTAATATTGTTTCAGTCGAACGGATAATAGAGTACACAAAAGTACCTCAAGAAGCCAATTGGTTCGGCGATATATCCAAATTGCCAATTGGTTGGCCAACAAACGGAGTGATTGAATTTGACAATTATAGCACCCGATATCGGGAGGGACTTGATTTAATACTCAAAGGAGTTGATGTAGCCATAGCTCCTGGAACTCGAGTCGGTATTGTTGGACGTACCGGTGCCGGCAAGTCGTCACTAACACTGGCCTTATTTCGGATCATCGAAGCGGCCGCCGGTTCTATAAAAATTGATGGCATTAATATTGCTGATTTAGGTCTACAAGATCTCCGGTCTAGACTGACAATCATACCACAGGATCCGGCTTTGTTTACAGGAAGTCTTCGACTAAATTTGGATCCATTTAACAGATATTCTGATCAACAATTATGGACTGCCTTAGAGTTGGCTCATTTGAAACAATTCGCTTCTTCTCTTGAAGCCGGTCTCGACCATCAAATCACTGAAGGCGGAGACAATCTGAGTGTCGGACAAAAACAATTGGTATGTTTGGCGCGAGCATTGCTGAAGAAGTCGAAGATTCTAGTCTTAGATGAGGCGACGGCTGCCGTCGATCTGCAGACCGACGAATTGATTCAGAAGACAATAAGGAACGAGTTCTTTGATTGTACTATCGTTACGATTGCCCACCGATTGAATACTATAATGGATTACAACAAAGTGATTGTTATGGACAGCGGATCCATTGTCGAGTATGACTCACCAAATAGTTTGCTTCAAAACAAACAATCGACTTTCTATTCAATGACAAGAGACAGTTCCTCCCGTTAAGGGACAGACAGACATACGGACGGACCCCCTGTCACCACTCATTTTATTTATTTTATATTACATTTTAAATCAATTTTATTATACCAATGCATATAGTTTTTAATTGTAATATATCTTTAAAATGTTTTGATATCATTTTATTTATTTATTTATTATTTTATAAATAGGTAACTATTTTTTCAAATGTTAATATTTTAGTAGTATAATTATTCAAATAAATTTTATAATTAATAATAAATTTTTAATTATTTGATTATTTTTTTTACAAATTAATTTAAATTTAGAGTCCATCAGCTTTTAAATTCATGTGATTTATAGAAAGTTTATATTAAATCTTATCAAACTATATGTTATTTTTGGAAATAATATAATTTTAGTTTATTGATAAAATTTTACGATAAATCAAATTATCACCTTTTATTTTATATATTTTAAAACAAAATCATATAATGAGTAATTAARTATATAATTAACACTTCATTATTTTCAAAACTTTTAAAAGATTATATCRCATTAATAAATACTATAATATAATATAATGATAGCAATTATTATGAAATAACTAACAAATTGATGTAATTTTACACTAATTATATAGATTTCATTGTAAATTTAATATTTATTTAATATATGCTCAAGGTCTAACTACCAATTAATAGTTTATTGAAAACTATAACTTTATAAACTTATACAAGTTTTAGATTTATAAACTTATATAAGTTTATAAATAAATGTTTAATAAATTACTAAACAAACAATTTTATTGGACATTAATTGCTTTAATTTTAATAAATCTATGAACTTTTAATTTAGTCTAAATTTTTTTTTAATATTTATAAATATCACTTTATAAAGATAATGTAATATTAGAACTATAATATTTATATAATGTTAATATTAAATATTATATCTACTGTATAAAGTACTGTAGGTTTACTACACAATAATGTTCAATAAAAATATTTATTTTAAAAATGTCATTTAGTTTCTTTCTCTACTGTTTGTTATAAATAAACTTTAAAATCTATAATTTAGTTATTATATATAATATTAATTAAATAAATAATAAAAATATATAAATAAAATATTTGAATGACTTTGGGATTTGAAATGTCCTGAAATGTACTCATAGATGACAATTGGTTATCATTTTTTAAATAATTTATACTTTGATAATCACATCCGACTATTAATAATAACAAATAATAATTTTTATTATTTTACTGTATATACTGTACTATAAATATTCATATATAGTTAACTAATTTATACATTAGTTTTATGAGCTAATAGTTGGATAACATTTAATTAAAAAATAAAATACCAGTGATTTGCAGATACGGATAGTAAATATTATAAAAACTTTAGACTCTTTAGCATTGATTGAAAAACTATGTGATATATAATAATTATAAAAACTATATAAACATATCAAATAAAATTTATAAATTATATATATAAAATACATTTTTAGCCAATAATTAATTATTTTTATAAAAACAATTAATTAAAACATTTGAATAATATTTATAATTTCAGTACAGTATATGTAATACTGTATAATATCTCGTTATTGATGTCATATATTGTTTACTGTATTATATTTAGGGTTCGATCAAATTCCCCGCTTGTTTTACAATCCAAAAGTTCTCACAAAAGTTTTTCCTGCTCTCTGGGAATTCTAAGGTATTTATTTTCTTGTGTTACCACTTATTGAACCCAAAACAACATATTTTATCTTTGAAAACAAATATTATATTAAACTGTATTTTGGGTATTCTTTAGTATRTTATTAATTTTTTAAATTTAATTTTTTTAATTAATTTTTATTATAAATAAATGTTAAATTAAAAAATCAATAAAATTTTCTAAATTACAAATAAGTAAATATATAATTACATCAAAGGATTGTATAATTGCTTTATGCAATCAATGAAAAAATAAAGTTGTGATGAATTACATGTCGGCGCCAGAGATACTCGGCTTAAGTGAAGATACAGATTATCGTTTGGTTACCTATTCTTAAGAGATTTAGTATCATTGCTCTGACTTGTCATTCAATAGTTTGGATGTTTAGCACCGGTATCTGAGTTCACAAATTATTTTGAATGGTTTAAAGTAAAATGAATAAAACCTATTATATAAATAGTATGACTCAATTTATTAAATTAAATTAATTATTTTTTTGTAAAATATTTAACTTTTTGTATTATTTATTGTAATAATATAAAATATTTTTTTCCATTTCTAATTATGAAGGAAGGGAAAATTATTTTTAAAAAATATTTTAGGGAAAATTGTAGGGATTTTATTAGGGAACTTCTTTCTCTSATAAAGTGCTCGAACTCTAATTATATTGTTTAATATTAATACTGTAGACAAAAATTATATGATTTGATGTCTATAAAGGAAATATCAATTTAAATGTTTTTATTTTTAATTAATTATTTTTTATGTCTAATATTATAATTAATTGTTTAATACATTTAGTCATCAAAAGTATCTTTTAATTAACAGTTGTGTCAAACAAAACAACTAATCGACAAATCAGTTGTTTTTTGTTTTCATTAATATCTCTGTAAGTAATGTCTTAAACATAATTGTCATCAAAAATGACTTATAAAACCAATTGTGATAATCATTAGATACCAGCGATTGTCTGATCAGACCAACAAAAATGCAAACAGAGTTATCATCGACGACAGACATCTTAGTGGACACGACTGGCGATGATTTGCATCAACACATGCGGTCGATGTCAGACGATGTGATGATTATTAAACCCGAAGTGAAGACACATCGACGGACAGCGTCTCTTAGGCAACGACTGGAAAACGCCGAGCAATTGGTGCACAAGTTTGTGACCGAAGCGGAACAGGTGGCCGAACAGGCGGTCATTAAGTTATGTACTGAGGCCTGGCATGTCTGTCACTTCAACGCACTGCCCAAATGGCTTCAGGACAACGACTTCTTGCACAGAGGACACAGACCACCCCTACCATCGTTTTGGGTCTGTTTTAAGTCTATCTTTAGACTGCACACAGAAACTGGTAATATATGGACCCATGGATTGGGTGCCGTCCTCTTTCTTTGTCTGTTTGTCTATACGTTTATAACATTCAAAGATCACTATACATATGTTGACCGTCTAATGCTGGCCATCTATTTTTGCGGTGCCATTACATGTCTGTCATTTTCAACTGTATTTCATACATGTAGTTGTCATTCCCGCGAAGTGTCCAAATTTTGTTCAAAACTGGACTATTGCGGTATATCCATACAGATTATCGGATCAATGATTCCCGCTCTCTATTATGGCTTTTATGACAACCACGCCATGTATTTAACTTATATAACATTTGGCGTAATATTGTGTATCATATCGATTGTGATATCATTATGGGATAAGTTTGGAGAACCAAAGTTCCGTCCCTTACGTACGGCAGTCTTCTTGGCTTTTGGTCTCTCAAATGTCATTCCAGGCATTCATTGGTTTATTGTCTTGGATTCCCATTTATTCAGTTCATTCCTGCTATTCATACTCCAGGGTCTCCTATATATAATCGGTGCGCTCTTATATGTTGTCCGAATACCCGAACGATTTTTCCCGGGAAAGTGTGACTATTGGTTTCAATCGCACCAATTATTTCATATATTGGTCGTATTGGCCGCAATTGTCCACTTAAATGGCATCAATGGTATGGTTGAGATGAGACTTAACGTCAATCAACTTTCAATCTAATTCTTGATAATAATAGAAATATTATTTTGAAATTACTTTTTAATTTATTAGTTTTTATTGTTATAATAATTATAGTCATTTTACTGTATTTACTATACTATACTTTATGTATACTTAAAGCGCATAGAAAACACACAATGTATTACCAATTGCTTGAAAAATGTAAACTCGTTTTTAGACATGAATTGGTGCCTTTGTTTGTTAGATTTTTAAATATATATTTATAACATATAATACATCTTATATGGCACAAAATTATTGTAAAAAGTTATATATAATTTATATATATACTGTATATTATACAAGTATATCATTGTTTTAATTATTTTCAATTATTGTATTAATTATTAATAGATTATTAATATAATATATATATATATATAATCATTTAATGTAATTTTGATGTTTATAATTTTATAGATTATTCATGTTTCTATTATATCTGATTTTATTAAATTAATAAAAACTTTTTAAGTAGTATTAAATATGTTGATTGTTATAGCAAATAAAAAATATATAAACATTTAACACATTAACAGTCAATAATATATAATAATAAAAGTTAAATGTTTAATGAGATTAATATGTAAATACCAGTATACACACAAACATCAAATTGTTATATAATATTAGGTTGACTTTTAAGGAAAAGTTTAATTTAGTTTGATTGACCTGTTGTTACATGTGTTGTGTGTTTGATTTGATTATAAAAGTCAACAACAATTTGGCACATTTGCACACAAAAAACTACCAAAAAAAATCATTTATTGCTAATATATTAGCATTTTTGTCAATATTTGGGATTTCAGTTTCAAAACTGTGTCTGAATTTTGAGACTTTTGATTTAAAAAACAAATATTATATATTATAGACTGTTGTTCACTGTTCTTGACCTCAAAATAATAAATTATATAAACATTTGGCACATCTTTTGTTATTAAAATAGCTACTGTTATGTCAATATTTAATTATTACACTGTTTAGCCTATTTAGAGATAATTTATATGTAGTAGTATATGCAGTATATATGAATAAAATATATCATAATTATAGAATATATACCTTTATATTAGTATTATATAACTATTTTTTACTGAATACTATATTTTAACTAAAACATTTAAAATAAAATACAAATAATATTTAATCATTTTTAATAAAAAATAACTATTTTTACCGGAAGTAATTAAATTTATATATACATGAAAATTAATTGTTCCAGTGCAATTATAAAATACAATATATTATTTAAAGAGTCTATAATTGAGATTTATGCAAAAACAATATCTGAATATATTTTATATTATAACTATAAAGTACTGTAATTCCTGTAAAAATTATTTGTGTCAAGTATTTTATTGGATAAAAATATTTATTTGACGTCCACTTGTGTCCACTTTATTATTTAAAAATGTTTATTTTGTTAATTGTATATTTAATATATTTTACAATTTACTTGAATAAATTTATGATAATTTAATTTATTTCTAATAGTAATTATGTTTAATTGTACAGTATTTATTAATTATAGTTATTTATAAAATATACATAAAAATAGGTAACAAAATAGAAAAATATTTTTAGAGATTTTGTTTGTAATTTATATTAAGTCTATTCATAAAAATACATATTTAAAATATTAATATAATATAGTTTCATAAATAATTTAATCTTTTCTAATAGATATGAATTTTTAACTGTTTAAAAATATTTCTATTAAGGTTCCAACTATTTTTTGAATGATTTTATGTAATATATTGTTATTAATTAAAATAATTTTATATTAAATAATATAAAAATTAAATAATATGACTTTTTTTTGGTTAACTTGTTATTAAAATTTTTGTCACAATTATAATATTTGAATTGTAAAGTTAAATAAAAAAATTACTGAATATAAGTTTTATTTTATTCATTGATTGTAAACGATGCCATAATAGTTGATTAAATTTAATACTTTAGATTATATTTTACAATTGTAATTTATTATATGATGTGCTTAATTGGTGATTTATTGTTAAAATTAATAAGATTTGAAGATACTATATGAAATTATGCTTATAATGTAAAATAATATTATTTTTGAATATTTCTAAAAAGTTTCTATAAAATTTAAAATACAAAAATTATATTTGTAGGAAAAAACTTATTAGTAAAATATTTGTAAATGAATTAAACAAATAATTGTAATTAAATTATTTATTATTAATTTTATAAATATTACAACTTTTAACTATTTAATTTTTAAATAATATAATTTGAATTAATTGTAAATTAATTGAATTGAATTTTTGATATGAACTTTAATTTGTAAATTTTCAAGAGAAATATACCCAACGCTATGAATATTAAGACTCTTCGTATTAATTGTTTATTTAAGTCAATTGTTTGCGAAAAAAAAATATTTAAAAAATACAAACATCAGGTGTGTGTTAATGACGAAAACAATTGGTTTGGTTCCCTGTTTTTATCGAGAGAGTCACTTAAATAAATATTAAGTGAAAGTTGTTTTCAAAAAACTATATATATGTTTGGATTTTATCTCAGAGAAAGTTATTTTTTGTAATTAACTTTTTTGATTAAAGCAAATTTTAAATTGATATTTTTAAAAATGTCAAAACATCTGAGCTGTATTTTTTCTCTTATATTAATTTTATCTCTATTTTCTATAAGTTTTAGTTTAAAATCAAGGGTAAAATCATTTGAGAGTTATTTATAATGTTTTGAAAGTAAATTGCAATTTTGTTAACCTAAAATTTTTTTATGAATTAATAGGTAAAACGGCAATCATTGGCCTATAGATTTGCCGACGGCATCGATCTGGTTGTTCCTGATATTAGAGAGTCATTCAGTTGTGAAAATCGTGATTACGGTTATTACGCCGATTCGGACAACAATTGTCAGATATTTCATGTATGTGTTCCTCCGGCACAACAGTTCAGCTTTTTCTGTCCAAATCAGACCATATTTGACCAGAGATTGTTGGTCTGTCAGGACGAGACATTTGCCACTCCGTGTCGAGAAGCCGAACGATTTTATGTAATAAATCAGAATTTTGGTGAAACTGATCCCGAAAAGTTGGTTACATTTAAGTAAAAATATTATTCATATTTGTTTCAATATATTTCAAGTATTATTACTGTATATTAATTTCTATTATTATTTTTCTATTAAGAGTACTGTATTATTATTATTATTATTTATTAATTAGTAAATTATATCATATATTATTCTTACATTTATTATAAAATTTGAATTTATTATTTGTTTAAATATAGATTTCTAAAAAATGCTAATATTTATTAATATAATTTATATTATTATAAATTATGTRTAATAATACTTTTTAGAAAATCAGTTTAGATTTTAGATTAGACTATAATAATAACTTTTATATATTATACAAATACTGTATATAGGTTAAGTGTTTAGCATATTAAAATTTATTTACAAATTATAAAAAATAACCTATTTAAATAGTTGATACACAAGTTTTTAAATAATTAAATTTTATAAGACTATAAAAAATTAATGAAACATCTTGAAAATAGAAACTGTATTTTTAAATTTAAAAAACCAATAAATTAAATAAAAAGTGTATTTTATTTATGATTTAATTAACATATTTTTACAACAAATATTTTAATATTTTATAATTATTTATATACGGTATATATACTAATATAAGTTTATATGTAAAATTATCAATTAATTTTTATATTTATAATGTATAAGTTATATAAACGTACATTAAATTATTGTGTGATTAATAATCATTTTATTTATTTAAATTTAATATTTAATAAATTATAAAATTGATAATTTCTTATTATTAACAAATTACTAATTTTTATATGACTAAAAAATAATGTTTAATAAATTTAATAATATCATTAGATTTTTTAAATTCATAATAAAATTTTAATGATTTAAAAATGTTTTGTCAATTATATGGACACATCTAAAGTGAATTCAGACCGGAATATGAAAAACTAGTCGATTATGTGAACGGCTTTTTGCATAATTTTTTACTGAAATAAAAATAAATAAATTTTTCTATATTTATGTTTATTGTTAATAATTATAACTTACATTAAATACTTATCGTGAGTATCTTTATATGCTTTGGTGTCCAGATTTGCCACATTTTGTTCAAAACTTCTTTCATTTTGATAATCATGATAAGAGACACCACTTTGCAAAACTGATGGTTGAATATCTTTTTGTGTAATTAATTCATCGTTTTGTTTACCATAATAATCACCATTAGATTTGGTCAACTCTTTAGTGGCCACTGTCTTCAATATTTCAATTTGTTGTATGAATTGCTCTAAAAGTGACTTAAATTGTGATGCATTAGTGTCTTCATCATTGGACATCTGACCACTGTTTTCATAGGAATCGGGTGTTTCTGATTCTGTTTCTGATTCTATATCTGATTCTACATTTGTTCCATAATAAGGATAATTATCTATATTTGGTTCATCATTGGCATCAATTGCATCAGTTTGTGGTATAATATCATAACTTGAAGCTAATTCTTTGTTGTTGTTGTTGTCGATGAACTGATATGTTTGTTCAGAATTGTTTGAATCAATTTTTTCTCTATTTTCTGAATCTTTTGTATCATCTTTTTGTTCGACAGTAATGGTTGTTGTTATTTGTTCTTCTTTTGGTGTCGGAGTTGTTGTCGGAGTTGTTGTCGGAGTTGTTGTCGTTGATGTTGTGGTAGTCATTGAATCTGTTTTAACGAGTGGTTGAATTTTTGTCCTCATTTGTGGCAATTCAGTGATCACTTCAGACGTTTGTTGAGTCAAAACATTTTTTTCGTTCAATTCTTTATCGACATCTCTCTGTTGTGTTTGTTGTCTATCTCTTTGAATTTGTTGCAAAGTTTTTGGCCAATTATTGTAGTAAATGCTATAAACTCTTGAATAACCAGATGTTTGGTTCGTTTCTTTAGCTTTTGGTGTCGTCGGTGCTATAGTTGAGGTAACAACAGATTTACTAACTCTTTCTGAACGATACCGTCGAGGCATTAGTGATACCGTTGGCTGTATTTTAAGTAATATAGAATTGATTGGCTTTTGATTAGCTATGGATACCGATTGTGAAGAAGACATTGATTTTGACTGTCTTTCAGCTGATATTACAGGTGTTGACACATATTTTGTACCCGAAATTTGTGGCAAATTATGATTTACTTTATTTACTGGTGATATTGGTCGAGAAGTTAACTGATTTTCATTATTCTTTATATAATTAATGTTATTATTAGAGTTAGCATTTGAAGCAACTATACTCTTAAGATTATTGTACACTATATATAAAATAAATTTTAAAAGACAATAAATAATTTAATAATATAATTAATTTTCTTGATATATGAATAACATTACAAAAAAAATATTTATTTAATTGATTAATGACTTACCTCTTGGTATATCAATGGTTGGTTGAATAAATGAAGCGGAATACTGAAGTGGTATATTGTTGTATGAATTATATGGCATATTATAAAGTGATTGACTGTTGATAGGAGTACCGGTATTTGTATGACCCATACCCGGCAAATATGATTGCGGGCCTAATTCAGTTTGACGCATTATACCAGTAGATGAAATGGCTGATATTAATTGTGAAACAGCAAAACATAATTTACTATTATATAACATTATATATAAAATTGTGAAAAACATTTTTGCAATCATTCTGTTAACAAATTTATATTCAATAAAATACTTTTAATTTAATAAAACATAAGTAAATTTAGCAAAAGTTTGTTTACTTTCATATGTGAGAAGATTTCACATTTATATATAGTGTACATACACTTGAAAAAGTAAAAAATGAAACAATAATAAAAAATCTAAAATTCAAATTAGATTTATGTTAAAATATATTTATCCCTTTAAAGCTAACCTGTAGTACAAGTCTTAATCTAAAGATAATACATATATAATAGTAATAAATTTTAAAAAATCATTATCTCATAAGTGGACCTCAAAATTGTTTCTATAAATAGCAAATCTTTTTTTAAAAAGTATGTTTAAAATATTAATTTATATGCCATTCAATTCACTTTAAACTTGTGTTTTTTATTATTAAAATTTGTATAATCAATAAATCTAATCAATATCTTTAATAACAAATAATAAAAAATATTCATTGATATTTAAATTACTATTTATATAAATTATAACTATATTACACATTATTTAAATTAATTAAATAATTTTATTTATGCAATTGAATTAATCAATTTTTAAAAATAATTTTTTTTATTTTTAATGATGTTAGTGACAATTTATGATAAAAAGATATTGTAATATTATAAAAACACTGTATAAAAGCTAATAAATTTAATATTACTAAAACTAACCTATAGATAGTAAATAGCAAATGTTGAAAAATGTAATATTTATTTTTTATAAAAAGTGATAAAAGATTAGATTTAATATTTTATTAGATAATGTCAATTTATTTACTCCTATTAAAATTTTGAGTTTATCATTATTTATTAAATATTGATAGATTATATATATATATATATAATTGACTTTAATTTTAAATTAATTAAAACTATTAGTTTATAAAAGTGTCCTAATATTTAACTAATAATTTACCAGAAATTAAATTGAGTGTCACTGTCGTCGAAAAGCAATGACGAGCCACTCTTCCCAACCAATACTTTCTTTCCCTGCATTTGTGCCACTTGTGCAGCATTTGGCAAAACACCGGGAGGTGGAGGCGGTATATTTGGTCGCGCCGTTGAGTCAAAACGCGAGTGCGTATCGAAACCTTGCGGAACAACTACTGTTCCGTCGGACAGTTCTTGCGAGTAGTAACTACTGGGCAGACCTATTGGTTGATATAGAAAAGTGGAGTATGGGTTTCCATGATATGGATACATTGGATGCGAATATAGATGCAATGGATGTGAATATGGATGCATTGGATGTGAATATGGATGCATTGGATGTGAATATGGATGCATTGTATGTGAATATGGATACATTGGATTTGGACATGGATATCCATAAGGACCGTATGGATGTGTTTGTATAAAAGGCATTAATGGGTTAAGTGGATATTGTTGTCCAACATTAGGGCTAACCATTACTGGTTGGACTATAGCTTGTCTTTGTATTTGCTGTTGTTGTGGTTGTATTTGTCTTATTGGACTTTCATTGTTTTGTTTGTGATTTTCTTGATTTTTGATCGTCTCATCCGATTTTTGTGACTTTTGTCTGTCATTTATTGAATTTCTTTTATCTTCTTTTGTATTATTCTTTGATGACATATTTGAACTCAACTTTCAATTAAATATTTTTAAGAAAAAATACTTTATAGCATTTTAACTGAATTTTATTCATAAGATAAGAAAACTATTTTTTAAATTAAATTTATAGTTATTTTCAAATACATAATGCACGCTAATATACAACAATTAAGATTTTTATCGATTAGTTTTTTCAATGTCAGTAAATAAATGATAAATTAAACTTTTTATGTTTTTAAAACTTTATATTTTTAATATTTTTTGTTCAAAACTCTTCTGACTAATAATTATATATCAAAAATCTCTAAACAATATATCATGTATTAGTAGGCAATTTAATTATAATTTTTGAATTTAATTTGCAGTTAAAAAATATATGTTATTTTTTAAGAGTAATTGTAAATTATTTTATACTAGTTTACTATTTTATATTAGAGTAAAACAATAAAATCAAATACACTAAAATTATAGATTTATTTTTGTTAGTTTAAGATTGATATTATCTAGTATTGAATCGATACAATAACTTATCTTATCTATTAATTTTTAAATCTAAAACTTTATAAACATTTATTTGGTTTATTATAATCATAAGTGATGATAATTTAAGATATATGTCGATTACATTATTTAGAAAAAATTAGATTTTATTGTAAGTTTATAAGTAATTAATTATATAAATATTGTATACACTAAATCAAATTCATTATATTTACTTAAATTTAATTTTCATTATCATTATTATTACAAATTTATATTTTTTCTGAGAGTAAAGATCGTTGTGCTTAAGACACACTTAAACTCGAAAACATTTTTTAATAGTTTCTTATAAATACTATACCGATATATAAAGTAAAACATATGATTAAAATAAATAATCGGATAAAGTTTTAAATATTATTACTATTTATTCATATATTCTTATAAATTATGATATATACAGTAGAAAATACAGTATACATTTTATGTGATATTAAATTGTTTTTATAATGTAGATTGTTTTATAAATTAAATAAAAAACAAATCAATCAAAATGATTAATTTTAAGATAATAAAGGGTATTATTATAATATCGTTTTTAATGAGTTAATTAAATCACTAAAAATATATATAATTAATATACGGTATTTATATGTGTGTTTAATTGTATATAATATGTGTCCAATTTTAACCTTTTGTTAATTTAATGTATTTAAAGTATATTTTTTTAATTTTGTTATTTTAATTACTTTAGATATGTTTAAAATAAGAATTTTGTATTTAATTAAAAAAACTTTAGATATAAGTTATATCATATAACTTAATAAAATAACAAAATATACTCAAAGTATTATTTTAATATACTTTTTAAGTAGTTTTTATTAATATAGATAATATTGTATCAAATTATAAATAATTACAAATAATAAAATAATTGAACTTATGCACTTATTAATTAATCTAATATTTTGTCATATTAATCATATGGTATTGTATCATATGTTCTATATTTAAAAAACAAGATATATGCAAGGTGATTTATTAATATTAATAATACATATTAAGCTAATTTAAAAATAATTTATATTTAATTTCAACATGATTAAATAAAAATTAATTTTAACACAAAATGAAAATTATAATAAATAATAAATATAACACTAAATAATTATACAGTAAATAATAATTATTATATGATAATTATTAATTATTTAAATATAATTTACTAATGATTTACCAATAAATAGTAGAAACAAAATAAATGTGTTTCTAAATATTTAATATAACGGTATGATATTATTATCAAAATGCAATATAATACTTATAAATTAATGAACATTGAAATTATTTTCTTTAAAACACAATTATTTGCAACATATTGTAAAGTAAAACTTTTGTTAAAATTAATTATAAAAATGATTTATAAACTATTTATACTATATTTTACTGTTTGTTACAATTATATTAACAGTGAACCTATTGATACGTCGACTTTAATTTCATTGCAAATTATTCATAGACACGGCGACAGAACTCCAATAGCTTTTTATCGAAACGATCCGTACAAAAGTGACCAATGGGTCGATGGATTAGGAGAGTTGACCCCTAGAGGTAAACAACGTATGTTTACATTTGGACAACAGTTACGGCAAAGATATGGCAATTATTTGGGTGATTCACCAAAAAACGCTTATATCAGAAGTTCAGCGTCCGATCGGTGCATTGAAAGTGCTTCAGCACTGATCGCCGGCTTATATCCGCCAAAAGGACGATGGGTATGGTCTTTGATCGATGAATTGGCAAAGATATGGCAGCCAATTGCCATTCAAACGGTTGATAAATCAAAAGACGGTTTGTTAGTTCCTAACTGTGACTGTCCGGCGGCGGACAAAGCATACGAAGAGATTATGAAATCTAAAGATGTGACAGAATTTATGGAGAAAAACAAAAATTTCATACAAAAAATAAACGACAAAACCGGTGAAAATTATACCACTTTAAGACAAATGGATTATTTGTACGATAGTATTAATCACGAAATAAATTTTGATGTCCCAAAGCCAGTGCCCAAATGGATTAAAGAGTTGGGAAACGACACTCTCGACAGACTTAAAGAGTTTGAGTCAATGGCTTTTAAGTACGACTGGTCGTCGAAAAAAGTTCAACGATTAAGAGGTGGTCTTATGTTTAAAGAATTGACTACTAATATGGACACTGCCATCAAAACTCCTGACACATCCAAAAAAGTTTATGTGTATTCAACACACGAYACTATTTTGGTAACACTTTTGCAGGCATTGAACTTATATTCAGGAGATCCGCCATCCTATGGATCGGCACTTGTTTTTGAGTTACATCGGGTCGATGGCCAGCATTGGGTGCACTTGTTTTACGCAAACGTCACGCCTGTACTTATTTTCCGAGAATTAGATATCAAATTATGTCATTTAAATGAAACCCAAAGTCAATGTCGTGCCGAAGATTTTGGTAAAAGTCTTACAGAATTTATACCGAATGACTGGGAGACCGAATGTGAGATACCTCACAATGGATTGTCTACTTTGAATGGACAGTCACATACCGTCCCTTTATTATTAACATATACCCTTATAATTCATTTATCAATTTACTATATAAGCTAAATTACTTTTTAACTTTAAAAATATAAATAAATAATATGCTATTTATATAATAATAATTTTGAAACTTCTAATCTTGTATTCAATTTAATATAAACTATATTTAATTTATAATTATATCATTATTTATTTATCTATCTATTAATTATTTATCATTTTATCAATTAATTATTTATCATTTTATCAATTAATTTATATTATACAAAGTTTAAATAATAATTTCTAATAGTAATATTCCAATAGAAAATTTATTATTTTTTACAATTGTCAGTTAATTATGAAAATATTTGTTTTAATAGATACCTGTGTTTTTATTAATATTTATTATATTGTCAGTAATTATATTTTTAATTTTTATCGTATTTTTTTATATAAATATATTTAAATTTAAATAAACGTTAAGAGATTATAAAAATAAATTTATTAATTATAAGACACACTATAAAAATTGTATAATAAATTTATGTGGAATTTATTAATAGATATAAAAAATTCAATACAGTATTACAATTAATACTATATATATAGATAGATATATATAAATTTTATATATTTATACAGAGTTCGTCAACCAAGTGTCGGGTTTTACTGATTAGTATTACTAATGTAGTAATAATTTTATTGATTAATAATTATGAATAAACACGAAAAATAAATATTAAATTAATAATAAAATTTCATAATAAAACAAAAACAAATACTACTAAAACTAATAATTAAAAGTAAAGTAAAATTATAAAATCTATTATTTATTATTAAAAAACATTTTCTTAATTTTCATAATAAATCATCAACAGTTATCATATTTTTAAAGTTAGGTTTATACTGTATGTTATAATTATGAAAAAGTTAGACAATTTAAAAATTAAATTAACTTTAGTTTTTTTATTTCTTTAATAACTAACTAATATCTTAAAAATTTAGAAATAATGTTAGAATTGAAAATAGTTCTGTAATTATACTTTTAATTATTATTTTTAGTATAATTTGTTTTTATTGTATTCAATATTTTATTTTCAGTTCAATATTTATTTTTCTCAGTTTATTCATAATTATAATAATAATAATTATTATTATTATTATTATTAATCAATAATTATTACTAATCAGTAAAACCCGACACTTCGTTGACGAACTCTGTATATATAAATTGTTATACAGTATACTAACAAATAGTTGTAATAATTATATAATATATAGACAATAATTTGGGTCTATTTCTATTATAGTGAATATATAAACAAAATTAATTGCTCTCATATATCGTTACAATTATTACTACAATTATTATTACAATTAAATTATTTTCTATAATTGTTTGTCAAATATGTTAATATCATTGAAATGGGATTACATTACACTCTAACTAATAGTATAACTCTATACTCACTGTATTAGTAATAGTATTGTTGCGTATTATAGCTTAATATAAGCAGACATTGAATTTCAATGTCAATAACAACTACAGTATAATATGAATAAACATAACATAACATACTGTAAGTCAATACTCAACATATAATGTGCGCAATAAATACATTGAATATAGTGTTGAATATGACGTCATGTTTGGCAAAATCAGATGACTTTTGTTTTTATTGTTATTATTGTTTTGTATTAATAATTAACTCATTTTTTTGACTAACAATTTACAAGTCCTTTGTCTTCAAAGACAACGACAATAACAATAAACAATACAAAGAGATCACCGAATGATTTGATCAAAAACAACACAAACGAGTGACAAATATTGTCGAAAATCATTAACAACGCCAAAGACATCAACATTTCGGATGCAATGATATCGTAAAAGAGTTGGTCAGTCTGTTGAGTGCCAAACCCATTGCGTGGACATCACCGCCACACCAAAAGCGCCGTAGAGATGACCATCTTTGACATTCCGTGGCTCTCGGAGTCCATTAAGAAGCGGGCGCTGAGGTATCTGTTGCAGCGATATTTGGGCCACTTTTTGCTCGAGAAGCTGACACTGGATCAGCTGAGTCTCGACCTCTATCAGGGAAAGGGATCCGTGCGTCACATGCAACTCGATGTGGACACCATTAATGAAGAATTAAACCACTTGTCTTCGTTCCGATTCATTGAGGGCTCAATCAATGAGCTGTCAGTGTTTATCCCGTGGACTTCGCTATTGACCGACGCCTCGACAATACATTTTGACGGGATTTCACTAAATCTATGCAAATTTGCGAACAATAAGTGCAATGATTTGCGCGAATCAACGCTCATATCGACGGCGTTGATGACATCGTCGATGCAAATCGCAGAAGAGATTGTCAACACTGAAGACAATGATAACGACAATCACATGGAGGATAAGTTTGATGGTCTCGAAATGTTTGCACAGCTTATCGATTCAGTGCTCCGACGGTTCAAATTGTCGGCCACCAACACGTCGTTTAAGTTTGTTTTTCCGCGAAAGACAGGCGATGGACAGCAAATTGAAGTCCGCGTCAAACATATGAAGTGTGAAGAAGAACAGCCATTGGGTGATTGCCAACAAAATGAACGCAATGTTAATATAATTCCCGAAACTATTACAAAAATTATTACTCTGGAGGGCATTGAAATATTGGTCAACTCGGTATCGGTGTGTCGGCTCACTGGACGACATTCAGTACAGTTAAAGATTGACGAAAATAAAACTGATTTACAGGTGTTCTTTGGTTCTCATATATTAGCCATCATTAATAGCAGACAATTGGAGACATTGATTGAGCTCTTTGAAAGTGGAGAACAAYTACAGACTCAGTTAAGTCCAATGAGCGGCGAAAAGCTAATGAGTTCTGAGGACTACATAAGAGTGGAACAACAGTTGCAATTAGAGTCGGGTTGTGCTAAATCAGCGGCAAATGCTGTGATATCATCRCAATTAGTAAAAGCTGACACTTGGTCTGGTCTTAATGATTTGGAAGAAGAGAGACAGTTCTTTGAGTTGAACAAAGTCCACGACAAAGATATAAAGATTACAAAAGATAATAAATGTAAACGATGTGAGTTCTTGTGTCATCTAAGAATACCTGGACTTACTGTCTGTTTGCTTTCTGGCGACAATTTGCCACAATTCGAGGGAATGCCTATCATTGATACGCAAAACTCATTTTCTCGGATCAATTCATTTATTGATAAGGTTTTAGACGATTTCGATCACTTGAGGTTCCTATCACTACAACTATCACTTGATATCAACACAGATTCTGTTTCATTCACTTGTGGAGACCTTATGATCAGTGAAGTGTTAAACAATAAAATGACACAATTTGTGTGGAATAAGAACAACAATCAAATGATTGTTTCACCGTTTTTACGATTTAATCTAAAAGACAATAATATGTCTATAAATTTGGATTCAATTAATTTACGAATAGATTTAACTTTTATGGAGAGATATAAGAATTATTTTAACTATAATTTACATAAAAATAATTCACAAACGGTATCGGATTTTAATCTTAATATCAACTGTAAGGATATTAACGCAGAGCTCATGTTTCCGATACCAGACCTTAGACCACATGAAGAACGAAGTTTTTCAATAAACAGAAATGAATCACTTCTACTAAGACTTTGTGAATCAACGGTTAACATAAAACCAAATTGCGGTGAATTGAAGTGTCAGAGCTTTGCGATTGATTTTAAAGTAGACGACAATTATCTTAATATAATTAATGGACATTCAATGGAGCAACAAATGGTTAGTTTAAAGTTTCGGTTAGGACTGACTTCGACAACATTGGACACAACGTTAACTGAGGACGACATCAACAACTTTTATGAAGCAGATATGGAAGACTCAATATATGTGGGACAGACTGTTCCCCAGCCGGTGACCGAACCGTTTCAAGTGAAACGAAAAGTGATTGGAAGAGATAATAATGACAACGATCAGGTGTTGACACCCGGAGATAGGGATCACATGGAAACCTATATGGCAACTGCTTCTGCTTCCTCTCAAATGCATTTGGATTTAGTTGTGCCATCAGTTGATATTCATTTTCAAAATAAGGATCAGTTTGAATTGATTTATAACAGAATTGGTAACGATTTGATTTTATGGACACCATTTGTCCCTTTGACTAGTGATTTGATTGTAACCAAAGAGCACATGAATTCACCAAATCCCACATTTTTTAGCATTAAGACAATGAGTGACTCGAGTTCTACCAATTCTTCTTTTCATTCATTTATTGGGCCAAACACTAGCAATCGAATCAATTTTATGACATTTTGTGTCAAATTAAATGATGTCACCTTTGAAATTGATTCCAAACAGGAGACAAACGAAGAGATATTTTGTCAAAATTTATTATTGGGTCTCGTAGTCGGCGATAAAAGTGAAAGTAATAGTAATCTATGTCTTTGTGCTGATAATGTTTCATTCAAGTCACAGGATATGACTGTCATCTGTGGTAATATCTATAATGAGGCCAAATGTTTGTTCAGTTTAGCACTTGATATAAAACGAGAGAGCGATTTGTTGAAAAAGATAAAATTGGCGATTCAATTGAGTAATGCCGCTATGTTTGAACTCCAAGTGCCTGTATTTGAACAGTTCTGGGAGTTCATCAATGTTACTGATGAAGTAGTCATTGGATATACTCCGCCTAAAGTGATTACTGAACTACACATTAATTTGCTCGACAGTGCCATTGCTTTAGAAAACTTGACGACACGGACTGCACTTATATTGTTTGAAGATATTTATATGACATCAATGGTTGTGGAGAACACTAACGAAACTTTACTACAAGTTATGGCCGAAGAAACATTGTTTTGCCTGAAACGCAACAAATCTGCCGCAGAAGTCTTGAAGAACTACATCTGTATTATTCAAACGGGTATTATTGATATTAATCTTAAGCTTTCAAGAGATGGCAAATTGGAGTTTAAAGTATCCAATAATGCAATCGATGTGAGAGTATGTGCCGACTCTTTTACAGCGTTGTGTCAAATCATTAGTTCACTTACTGAAAATACGTCCAGTAATGCCAGTGTTGATAGCAATATATCCGATAACAATATGACACCATTTGAGAAGACATTTGATGATAAATTAATGGAAGACGCGATGGGAGACAGTGAAGACATGATTACAAAAGATGAAGACAGTGATGACGAACCGCCAAAGTTTTGTACCAATTGTGAAAGTCCTCCAATGGATATGAGTGACTTCTGGGTGTTAGGTGCCGATGATTTGGGCACCGGAATCAAAATGACAGCTGAACCACAAATTCGTGTCCTAACTGAACAGCCAATCAATGTTATTGAAAATCATTTCAATATTAGTCATCAGCGTTTAATTCCTGAAATTACTCCATCGACTATTTGCAGATATCTTTTGGAGGAAATGACTTTAATATTGCATTTATTTGATGGCAAAGATTTCGATGACGACACTCAAAATGACAGTCCGTTTGTCGACAAGAAAAACGAAGACAATAAAAGTTATAAAAGCTATAAATCTAACAAAACGTATTATTCAAATGAACCGAGAGTTCGTTTCTCTGAAGGATCGGTTCATATGTGGGAAAACATAGATCTTGTGTCAGCTCCTCATTCTCTGAGAGGTCAGAGCCAAACAAGAGCTTCAAATTCATTTAAATGTATGGGTGGACTCAAGAGGCAAACAGATACCTGTGTTCTTATATGTCTCAACAAAGTTAAGACACTTTTTGAGACGTTTGATCCAGAATTTCAACTTTCCTGGCGATTCTTGTTTATGGTTCAGGACATTGAGGTTATCGATAAAGTGGTCGCTTCGAAGATCAAGAAAATGCTTTACGAATATTACTCGGAAAGTATGCCACGAAGAAAACATATGAATATGTTTTCCATTAAAGCCACCACTTTTCGTAACAAAGAGGTGGACAATAAAGAGGAATGTGAACTGAAAATATCTATAAAGCCTTTGCGGATTAACATAGATCAGGACACTCTCATCTTTATCTGCAACTTCTTCTCCACTGTAGTCGCAAGTATGGGCTCTGAGGAGACTCAAAGTGCTTTCAATACAATGGTTGTCGCCAATACTGGCGATGAATCTATGCCATCATTGAGTGACACATCCAGCACTATTTCACAAAAGACGGTCACATCGACCACTTCAAGTACCGGTACATCTAAAACGCAACTTTCCGTTGGTGACGATCCCAACAAAGTCTTCTTTAGACTTCTGTCATTTGCACCGGACGTACCAATTAGTCTCGACTATCACGGAAAGCATCTGGACTTTGAGCGAGTAATGAGTTGTATAACAATTGTTAAATAATGATTACTTATTAAAATTATTTTAATGTTGTTTAGGGAGCACTTCAAGGATTATTCTTAGGTTTGGCTCAATTAAATCAAAGTGAACTTCGCTTAAAAAGATTGCATAATAAACACGGATTACTTGGTTTTGATAAAGTAATGGCTTATCTTTTGAATGAATGGACGAAAGATATTAAAAGAAATCAATTGCCGTCACTGTTGGGTGGCGTCGGACCGATGCATAGCTTTATTCAATTATGTTTGTATACATTAAATCTATTTATTAATAAGTATTTGATTAATTTAATTGCTAACCACAACAGTTCAAGGAATTCGGGACTTGTTTTGGATGCCTATCGATCAATACCGACGCGATAGAAGACTGGTTCGTGGYATCCAAAGAGGTGCTCATTCATTCTCGTCATCGACAGCTATGGCAACCCTTGATTTAGCCAATAGAGTCGTCACTTTAATTCAAAGTGCAGCTCAATTTGCTCACGATGTGGTCACTCCTCCCACACCCGGACACAGACAACTGGCAATTATTGCGTTGAATGCACAACCAAGAGATCTACGGGAAGGCATATCAGTGGGATATGCATATGTCAGAGAAGGTCTTCACGACGCAGTCAGAGATATGGTTACCGCCAGTAAAGGGGCCGAAGATATCCCAAGTGCTGTGGGCGGTGTCATGCGTAACATACCTTCCAGTTTGGTAAGACCTATAATTGGCGTCACTCAGGGGGCGTCCAATGTATTAATGGGAATGAGAAACCAATTGACACCCGAGGCCCGTAAAGATGACCATGATAAGTGGAAGAATGCCAGTGAAAGATAACTATTACATATAACAAGGACACCATTTTAGTTATCAATTTAAATATCTATTTTCAATACCAATCAAATTATGGGTAAGTATTTCCAGTCATTGCAATTAATGCTAACAATTTGATATATAAATTAAGTTATTATAAACTTGGTTATTATAAATATTATATATAATTATAAATATATACAGTATAAATATTTTAATTTTTAAAAATAAATTGTTTTCTTATTTATAAAATTGTTTGATATAATTTTGGACAACTAGTCATTCAATTGTATTGACAGATAATGTGTATAATTTTAATAATTAAATAAAATTATCTATTTTTATTAAATATTGTATAGTTTTTATTATAAAATTTGGCAAATAATAAAATATATTAAAATAATATCATATGTTTAAAAATATATATATTACCGGTAATTAAAATACAAATTTAAAGTAAAAAACATAAATATGTCAATCAATCGCCACCTCCTCCATCTCCACCACCACCTCCTCCACAATCCCCTCCTCCGCCATCACCTCCATCTGTATATCCACAATCGCTATGTCCATAATGACCTCCGTGTCCACTATCATTACTTCCTATTACATTAGTGGCCAAATTGTCCAACCATTCAAAAGTATTGTCGTCGTTATGTTCATCGTTGTGATGGTCATGAAARTCATGATAGTTATTGTGATCCCTATTATATTTGCCGCCTTTACGGTCGGACCATTTGTTTGGTAGCACTGGAGGCCCGCCTACAGTCGGCAGACAACAGATATTAATCATGAATGAACAACAAAGACAATCGCAGGGATCACCATATGATGAGCTCATGGATTATAAGGACAGTCTATTACCAAACTTATCAAAATATTATATCAATTAATAGTATACTTAGGTCTGAGCCCTAATCGGGCCAACTCTTCATCCGACGACAACTTTTTGAGATTTTCTCCACTCTTTGGCTGACTATCGACGACATCCTCTAATTTATGGTCACTTTGAGTATCAATTGATGCCATCACTGGTCAACTCTATTCAATCAAAACATTTAATTGTTTACAAATTAATCTAATTATTAGTGATTACAGTACTTATTATTATAACTATAACTAAATAATAACAACTTATTATAAAACCATAAAAACTTTTAAAAATAACTTTTCAATGTTTTTGTTATTAATAATAATAATAATAATAAGTATTAATACATTAAAGTAATGCATAATAAACAGTACAATAATGTAAAAGTTTAATAATTTGATAAAAAAATAATTTTATTWAAYAWTTTATTCATTATAWTTATTATAAAAAATCACACAAATTATAGTTATTATTATTAATAGTTTAGATAATTATTTATTATTGAATTGATATATATTTTTAATTAATTATAAATGTATTATAAATTTGAATAAATGATAAAAACATTATCACGTAATTTGTAAACTCAAGTATCTCTACAATAATAACTATAGTATTAATAAAGAGATATAATATTAAAAATATGTATTTTTATTATYAAATACTTTATATGAAATAAATTCATTGAATTTGGATAATGTGTTAAAATATTAATTAATTTTTTCAATACTTTAGTAATAATTAGTTAACTAATTGAAAATTAAAACATTCATTCAATGAATGAAAACAACGATTGATTTCAGTTGTTGTTTACCATCGATGTTGTCATCAAATGATATGACAGATAAAAGTTTTGATTGATTGACATCTAAAGACAATTATCATATTATATATCGTTGTTTACCATTAAATTTAGTCATTGTTTGTGTTKTTAGTTAGTCCACAAATCCATGTCATCTCTCGAACGACAAATTATGAATCGCCGATTGCCGCCGATGGCGGTCACCACCGATAGGTCACATCAAACAAGAGCCGGTAGAAGTGATGGCAGACAAAGTCGTTACGATTATAGTCCCATACTTTGGGACAGATATTTTGACGCCAAACGTGATCTCAACATTAATAACCAAACTTTTCGGGTGTATCTCAAGGGAACCGATGACAAGTCAGTCAACAGCGATACAACTAATACTCCGCTTGTGGTTATGATTCACGGCGGAGGCTATAGTGGTCTCACGTTTGGACCGTTTGCTCAACAGATGAACGAGTTATGCGACTGTCATCTACTGGCCATCGATTTGCGCGGACACGGAAACACATTCACTGACAACGACGAAGATCTTAGTGTTCGTACTTTAGCTACTGATATATTTAATGTTATCACTGCATTGTTTCCGATGGAGAATATTCCTCCACTTGTCTTAATGGGTCACAGTATGGGTGGAGCCATTGCTGTCCACTGTTCGATATTACTCGAAGAGCTGATACCCCGTATTATTGGTCTTATTGTGATCGATGTGGTTGAGGGCACAGCTATGGATGCATTGCAATCAATGCAGTCATTTCTAAGAAGTCGTCCGACAAGTTTTGCAACTCTTGAGAAAGCTATTGAATGGTGTGTTCGTAGCGGTCAAACACGTAATATAGAAGCGGCCAAACTTTCGATGCCCGGACAGCTCAAGAATGTTAAGACTAATTTGACAGCAGTTACAGAACTTGAAGACAATCTACATAATGATAACCAAAGCCAAAGTGGTTCACATGTATTGGACAATAAAAGCGTTGAATTTGACATTAGAGAAGAAGATGAAGATAACGTTACTGAGGAAGTGGCCAACACTCCGACTAACGTATTTAAGACGCCAGAGATAAGTGGCTATACGTGGCGGACAAATCTGTTTAAATCTGAGCCATATTGGAGTCAATGGTTTGAAGACTTGTCCAATTCGTTTCTCAATAGTCGCGCCAATTATAAGTTACTTTTGTTGGCCGGAATTGACCGTTTAGATCGGGCACTGACTGTCGGTCAAATGCAGGGCAAGTTTCAGATGCAGGTGCTTCCCAAATGTGGACATACAGTTCATGAGGACGTACCCGACAAAGTGGCACAAGTGGTCGCTTCGTTTTTAATCAGAAATAAGTTTACAATCGCTAAACAAGACTTTGAACGATCATTTCCGTCGTGTTAACCATTAATTTGATATTTTTTATTATATTATTATTTTATATTAACAAAAATATTAATTCACAATTTATAAGTTATAATTGTATTTATTTAAGCAACAAATGATTGAATAATTATTAATTTGAATTTTATTTAAAAATTATTTATCTTTTAATAGATAGTGAATTAATTTAAATGGTTTTCTGTAATTATTATTTCAAGGCATTACCGGTAAAAATAATTTTAAATATTATTACGTTAATTGTAAATATTGATAATATATTTATTAGTAGATTTTATATACCGTTAAATTGTGTTTTTTTCTCCCATATGGAATTCAGAAAAAATGAAAAATAACATTTTCATATGGTAAAAAACTCTCATTTTTTACCACCCCTGGTAATAATTGAGCACTACCGGTAAATTATTATACAAAGTAAAAAGCTATATTTTTCATATGAGAGAAAACTCGCATTATTTACCCATAACTCACATTTCCATATGTGAGAAAAAACTCAATTTAACTATTAATATAATATAACTATTATTCAAAAAATAATATAAATGCGTCTAAATTTTGTAAAATTAAAAAGTATCTTACCGTATGTACAGTACATTATAAACTTTATAATGAATATTTATATAGAATCTATATTATAGATTTATATATATTTTAAATATTGTAATTTAATTAATATTAACATTTTAGTGTTGATTTGTCAATAAAATTGAATAAAAATATTATATATTCTATGCATTCATATTTATTAATAATAATAATTAATTAAATACCGGTAGATATTTGTTTGTTAAACGACAATTAGTTTTATTTTAAAGTTTATTTTTATATATGTACAAAATTTTATAAATAATATCCAATTAATAAATAAAATTATCAAAAAAATGTAAATATATAATAAAATGTATCAAATAAATGTTTATATTACTGTAATAAAATCTATAGTAAATGATTGGATAGTTTCAAGATATATAATACAATAATATAAAATATCACAACAAAAATATTGCAGCAAATAAATCAATACAAACAATGTATACTATAATCAATTGATTTTATACTAATAAATATTATGAAATGCAGATTTGCATTACCGATAATATTATACATATTTATATGATATAAATAAAATTCTCAAAAAATTACATAAAGTGTATATTGGATATTAAATATACATTATTAGCAATAAAAATGTATTATATGTACAAATGTAATAATTAAACAATGAGTATGTTTTATGTATGTTAACTAGTAGTACATGTATAAATATGAATTATATAAAATTTTACCACAATTTTTTAATGACTATAATTTTGATTGACTTATATATTGATTTTTTTATTTGACATATAAATATACAAACTTTTAATTAAAATTTATAAACAATCACATGTATATTTGTGATAATATTAAATTTATAAGTTATTATTTCTTTACATTTTAAAATTATTTAAATTAATGTAAATTTTTGTGTAAATGTTTCAAAATTGAAGAATTATTTGTGAAGAATTGTTGAGTGGATCACACTTTTCAGTTAGTATTTCATCTAATGATTTATTAGACTCTATGAAACAGGAATTCCTGACAGGACTGGCGCACAGCACTGTTATTTGACTACCGGTGCAGATATCCTCGTCAGATGAATGGTAATAATCTTGTTTTTGTTTAAGACAATCGGCGGACTTATATGACAACAGTTTATGACCCAAATGTCTATAATAATGAGTTTGTATGTGAGATAACTTTGCGATCGATAGATCATCAATACTAAAGGATTTCTCAATTGATTTATTCGTTGAAATTTTTGAGTCGACAAACAATTTTTGACTTCTAAGACCACCTTTTGATTTGAGATCCGGTGATGACGGACATGAAGACGATAACGTCGTCTTTGCCACTGATATGCAAATCTTAGACTTCAAATCTTTTCTTTCAAAAGAGTTTGAGCGTTCACTCAATGGTAATATATTTATAAAACCATTTATAGCACCACTTTTTATATCATGTGAAGTATTCAACAATTTTTTGTTTTTATTTGAATTTATTGCCCGCAAAAATCGCTGAATTGTTGGATTATTATTTGTATTGTTTTGAATTGATTTATATGAAGAAACAGTCAATTCATCCGAAATAGTTTTGTCTGTCATTATAGTTGGAGACATAAACATATAGTCATCACAAACTTTATTTTCGTTATTATTATTATTATTATTATTTATAGACTTTTCTAACAACAGATCCTTATGGTTAGTCATCAACTTCTCCATCATCTCATAGTTACCATAACCGCTATTATCCTGTACTTCCTGTTTGATGTGGACAGTGCTTTCAGGCAACAACCGATCTTTTAGCTTATGTTTAATATTGCCATCAATTATATGATCTTTGAATTGAATACATTTGATGTTTTCATAGAGTGGAAGGGATTGTATAAAATGAATGTTAATATAATTATCTTTCTTATGAAGACTTGTTGGCTGTTGTTGTTTGTCTTCTTTCAAACAAAACTTATTTCTATCACTTATTTGATTAACTCTTTCCATACATTCATCGCATTTATTCTCCAGTGTTTCGCCCAAACTATTGCCAACAGTTTTGCAATGATTACAGTTATTGAATGGTAAGTGAATATCAGATTTGCAGTCGTTTTGTCGGCTAATTGTCGACATTGTTTGCACTGTTAATGGATTCATTGGTGAAGTATTTATTTGATTTTGTGAACACAAGTTGTGTTGAAGATTATATGTACAGTGATTGATAGCTGAAGTGTGATATGAATTATTGGCTAAAATTGTATTATTATTATCATTCAATATTTTCTCACAATTGCATGAATTGCTTTGTCTTTTATGTTTTGCCGTTGATATAAAACTATGACAAACGTTGTCTATAATTGATTCACTCATTGAACCATTCATTGACTCCTAGTATTTAAATTGACAGTTAATATAATAAATTGCAATTTTCATCAATTATTACACTTATCTACAGTATTACCTGAAATTTTCTGGGGATATCATATGTTTCTCCTATAATGTTATCCATATTTTTTGTCAAACATTGCTGAGATTGCTTTAACTCCTAGTAATATAGGAAAATAAAATATATTAATTATAATAATAATTAAATTTTATAAAGATTTGCAAAAAATATATAATTTGCTAATATAATATATTACTTTAAATTAAATTCCACATAGCTAAAAAACAATAAAAATTATCGTAAAATCACTAAATAATAAAATCTTTTTTAATTATAATGATAATTCATGCATTAATTTAAAGCACCATTTAATTGAGTTAAAAGCTTTCAATAGGCGTTAAATTGAGAGATGGATATTAAGTTGATTTGCATTAAGCAATATAAGCAAAAATGGCAATTATTTTTCGACACAATTAACTGACAATAACTACCTTTAAGTAAATGTTTGCGAGAGCTGTGCGGGGAATGGAGTAATGCTGTTCCCCGTAGTCCTCAATAATTTGATGGCATTTAATACCATTTAAATCCTTTGATGACACGTCGGATAAATGACTAGAGTTGTTAAGTTGGCTATAATTAATTGTTTTTGAATCAGTGTTTAGTATAACTGTATTTTTATTGGTGTCGACTGTTTGATCCAACAAATTCAGATGACAACTACATAATGACATTTGTTCTCTTTTGGTCATAATATTACACATCTTGTGCTGAATATGTTTTGGTTTATCGTAAAGCATATCAACTAAGAGATCGGTTTTACCGGTGGATTGCAGTCTTGGCACAGAATATTCTTGATTACAATTACATGTATGTCCACCACTACTACCACTGCCACTACTATTGCTGCTATTGCTGGCGCCAGAGCTTTGAGAGCTCTGGGAGCAAAGGGACGCCCGATCGGGAAAATTACATATATTTCTCGTATTATTATTATTGTTATTATTACTGCTACTAATACTGTGATTATTATGTTGACTGTAGTCTCTTATCATAAACGAGGGAGAGATTGATTGAAATTCAGATAAATTTATCGCTGAAAGTGTATTATTTGGTATCGTTATGTGCGACACATGTATATCATCAGCGGCTGAATCGTATATATCAGACCTGTAATGATGTCCGCATTGTATACATTGAGATGAAGCCCAAGTACTACGAGTTTTATCATTAAATTGTGAACATTTTGGTAAAGTATTACAATCTGTATTAGATATGGACTTTAATGAACACCCATTATCTGAACAGCCATTATATATTTGAGAAGAAGACGATGTTATATAAAAGTCATTATCAGTGGTTACACTCGCAGATGATATGTACGGATGTACTCCGTTATAGCTGAGACCCGAAGAGCACCGCAATATCGTAGAACAGGTAGAATTTGAAGAGTATTGGTCATCACTGTCACCACTGATATCATTGTCGAAGTTGGAGTTCAATGTATTGGTGCTATTGAAACGCATGACTTCAGAACAGGCATCACAAACACTGGTCTCAGAATTGCAGCTAATGAGGTGATGACTCGACTCATTACTACCGCCACAGTCACAGATCTTATGATGGCATTTGGTTTGTGGTAATGACATCCTAACAGAGCCGTCAATTGCTATACAAATGAAAAATGTTTATAAATATGATTGAATTACATGACTCTTACATTAGTCTCTCTCTCTCTCTCTCTCTCTCTCTTATTGTATTTCATTGAAAACATTCACAAATAAGTATTCAATCGATTGCTTACTTCTGTTTGATGAGACTCTTGTCTTATCGTGAAGTTTGCCATTCAGTGCTAATTCAAAACATTTTGCCAATTCTTGGCATTGATTTGTATGCACCACATGAAGACCCTCTCCTATAATTGAGTTATAATTATATATTATTTAACAAACAACTACTCAATTAAATAAACTTTTTTCTATATTTATTTCCATATATTTTTATCAATTATTTATTTTGAAGATTAATTACTTGTCATACAATAATAATATAATAACTATTTCAGTCTCATTTGATTTATTTTATATCAATACAACTAA